ATTTATTTACTTCATTTGTTGACCGCCGCTCTCAGCCCTGGGGCGACTCGCGGCGGTGTACAACATGTAAAAAACAGTCTACAAAACATACAATAAATCAGCAACCAAATTACACATTAATCTAAATTACACTAAAAATCCGCGCCATTACAACATGGAATCATAGCCAATCTCATAATCCATAGTCCGTTATGCCAGGTAATAGAAAAGTTTTTCATGTAGTTTGATCTTTGGTGATTGTTTCCAACAGCAAATCATTACAAGCATTGAGTGGCAAGTGTGCACATTTTAACGTGCTGTCAACTAAACTTCAAAGCTGTCAACTGAACTTCACTAGTGTATCAAACTCTTACAAAAAAAATAGCTTGGATCTTTCTCACACATACACTTTGTACAATGTATGCCATTTTTGAAGCTAAGTTTTCACAATTTGGGAGGATTCATTTATCATAGAGGGGGTTTGGAAACAACTGTTATGGATTAAGGTGTTGGTAGAAAAATTAGCAATCTTCTCAGAAGAAAATGTTATATTCATTGTATTTCACTGCTTCAGATGTTTTTAAATAATGAATGTTTTCTCAAAAAATTGACGTGTGCTAAAATTAAGAAAATTTAGAATTTGCTCCAGGCACTGTCAGCCCATTGTATGCTAATCAAGGTGAACAGTTGAAAGATTCACACCTAGCCCAACTTACAAAAGCCCTTTGTCTCACCCTGGTCATTCCACAGATATATAAACCCCTTTTTTCCCCAATTCCAGCAGACCTCACCTCTGAGGATGCTTGCCATAGATGCAGGTGAAACGTCAGGAGAAATGCCTCTAGAACATGGCCCTATAGCCCGAAAAAACCCACAAGAACTGAGTGATTCCAGCCATGAAAGCCTTCAACAATACATTAAGAAAATTTAAATAGAGGAAAGAAATTTGTGGATGGGATAATAGATGGCATTAGATGAGATAGGGATGAGATAGGAAAGAATTACACAGAATCATAGAATCCTAAAGTTGGAAGAGACCTCATGTGCCACTCAGTCCCACCTCCTGCCAAGAAGCAGGAAAATTGCATTGCCCTTGAGACATTTTTCCCCTTGGTGAGAGTTACAGACCAGAGCTAAGGCACCAATTTAATCCATTTGCTGTATTATTTTCCTCCACTTAGTTGATGGGCATTGTTTACAAAGAGGTTTTTAAAAGCAAGATGGTTTCAATAAAATATATTTGTCTTCCCTTCTGACTTCAGCAAGTATTGGCTTCATGAACATCATGGAAAAAAGGTACAACTCCGCTTTCCCATTACTATGACTTTGCAACTGCTTTAGCCAAAGAAAAACCTAGTGAGAGATCCCATCAAGAAATTTCTACAACAGTCCCAGAGGTTGAAAAGGTCAGGGTACAAATATTTGAAATAAAATAAATAAATAAGTAATAGTAATAAAGAAAGAGTGGGAATGTTCTCTTCCTAATTCGGATTTTTATTCATTTTTCCACTATTTGCAAGGAGCTCCCTTCACAAAGAGAAAGGTGGGAGGAGGCATGGGTTACCACATTCCACATTGGGTGCCCACCTATTTGCAAAACTCTTTCGACAAAATTAAACTCATACCTTTGCAGTGCTTTGTTAAATCAGAAAACAGAATTTCTGAGTGCCCATACCTTGCTTGCTTGAAGAGTGCTTGTGATTCCTCAGATACAGTGGGCATTTGCATAAAATATAAAACTAGGCTGTTCTACAGCAAGAATAGAAAGTTACTGGATACGCTTGTTAGAAATAGATCTTTTGAATCACCAATAATCCTAGATAGCACAGGTGAGATCAAGCATGAATAGCTCTGTGGGACTAATCTTATGCATTGACCAGAATTGTGATGGGGAGGGGGAAATCAAATAAGTGTAAGATCAGTGCAGACAGGCAACAAAAGAGAAGCTAAAGAAAAGCATATATTTAACAATGATGCCATTTGAATCTGGAAAGCATTCACATAGCTGAAGGAAGTTACATTGAAAGCATTCACATAACTAAAGGAAGTTACACAGCTCGGTTTTCTTGTCATGTAGAGAAGAAGCTAGAAGAATCATGATGGATCAGGAAAAAAGTCTATCAAGTCTAGCCTCCTGTTCCTGCCATGACAAATCAGTTGTCTTAACTTGTCTATATTAACCCACAAATACATCACAAGGCATGTTCTCACTCAGAAAGAATGTGAAGGTATACAATTATAGGCAGCATACCATCAAAAATATACATTTTTGCTTCCAAAATTGTATGTTTGTATTATGGACAGATATGTGTATGGAAGAGTATGCAAGTTCACATTGATCCCAATTTCAAAGCACACATTTATAATTGTGCCCCCAACTCTCCTTGTTTTGACTTTCTGGTGAAGATGCCAGACAGGCCCATTCTACTAACTCCCTGTTAAAATGTTCCATTTTTATTTGGATGAGGTCCATATAGTCTCTGATTTCCTTCTTCCTTTGTAGCAGTCTTCAGAATCCTTTGTTTAGAAGAAGAATGTCTTGTAGAAGCCAGATAATACGAGCACTTTCCTTTAATTTTCTTCTTTGTCTGTCTCTCATATTAAAAAGCCAGACTCCATTTAAACCATCAGGGATTTTTTAACCCCCTGCAATTGACATTTCAGTTCCCTCTGGAATTAATTCTGAATCCTTTGCCATTAAGAGTCATGAACAAGATTAGCATTCACATTTGGGCTTTTAAAACAAAATGTTTGAATAATGTTGAACACTTTCTCCCACCCACTCCCTTTAGGATGTACTTGCACATGAAATGGAACGCAAATTTTGTTTCTAAATCTGGCACACTAAGGTTAGCTCAAAAGATATTTATAAACAGCTGAGTGAGAAAGCTGGATATTCTATTGTTTCATCTTTACCAGTCATCTCTGATTTATTCCAGTTATAATCTACACAAAACTTCTAGCCACTTGTGGTAAGATGCAGAACATGCATTGTTTCCTACAGAATATTTCCATGCCTAATGTTCTTTTGTCTTCAGCTCTAGTCTATGACTTGAGACATACAAGTCAAAGGTAAATGAAAATTCAGTACCCTGCTGCTTTGGCAGGTCATATAAAAAGGTGAAGTTGCAATGCACTTTAGACCAATTATTTTGGCTTCTTTAGTTTTGGCAGTGTCGGTAGAATGAGCTGTATTTGAAACAAAGAAGAGCTATGCAACAGCTAGAGGAAGTTCAGCTTCAGTTCATCCTAACAGGACTTGGTTAACCCCCACTCTTTTATCCAAGGGAAAGGGTACACTTGAAATGGAATTGTATTCCGAAACACTGATAAATACACCTTGCTTTTGTGAATAACATGACCACTTTAAATAAACTAATTGGGAACTTTTATATAATAACCCATTAGTCAATGACTGACCAGAGTGTGACTTGCCAGTAATGTTAGCCAGTTTCTATAGCTGAGCGGAGTTTCAAACCTTGATTCCTATTCCAATACTCAAACTATTTCAACATGTTGGCTCTTAGTTGCTTAACATTCATAAATGTGTCAATTTTTTTTTTTTGCATTCTCCTTCTGATAGAAATAAACTCATGTGACTTAAGGCTTCAATAACCCAAGTTGCACTTACTGACAACACCATAGAAATGGTTTTCATTGACTCCTTAAGGTTTCAATAACCTACAAATAAGTTGCACTTACTGACAACATCTTGGAAATGGTTTCCATTAACTCCTATTCTGCCTGTATTCTAGGGACTATTTTCTGTGTATGTTTTCTTTATGGAGAATGAACAAAACTAGTTGGAAGCAGGACCTTTACAATGATTATTCTTTTCTAACAAGGCTCAGCTACCATGAAAGGTATTTGGCTCCTTCTTGATGCTATTATTTTATCACTTACAGAATTATTTCAGTCTTATTTTAATAGCTTTGAAAGGGGTTGTTAAATTATACTGTCCATTGTTTTATTGACACATTGACCCCTTGAGCTTGGGAAAGGTGGGGGTTATTTTTTAAAGGGATGTACATCAGAAATCTCTCACAACTTATAGGGATCCTGGCAGGAGAGAAATGAAAAAAAGTCCACATTATATGAACTTATGGTGGGTCAGACCGCCTGTTTACCTAGCTGGCTAACCATCTAAAGGTAACAACACTTCGAGAGAGGGAGTCCTTCCACACTACACAATTACAGCTATATATTCCACTTTGACTGCCATGGCAACACTGAATGGAAACTTGGAATTTGAGGGAAAGGTTTTTAGTATTCTTAGCCAGAGATCTCTAATGTCTCCTCAAATTATAAACTCCAGATTCCCAAAGGATATTGACATGGCAGTTCAAGTGGAGTCATGGTGACAATTTTTATGCTATATTTTGTTTGGTTAATCTTATGGTTATGTTGTTTTTACTTTGTATGTTTTGTGATGTTACCTGGGAACTGCTCTGAGTCCCCTTGGGGAGATGGAGCAGTATATAAATAAATTATTATTATTATTATTATTATTATCATCATCATTATTATTATTATGGCCGTATCTATAACTGTGTTCTGGGAAAGATCCTTTAGACAAGGGCAATAACGACTGAATCCACAAATAAATATATAATTCATACAACTCTAAACTTCAGAAAGTAAGGGCCAAAGCTTCATGTGTGGTCAGTTCTCTGCAAGGCAGTTACATTAACATATAGCACTATAACAGTGTGGTGTGAATGAGTCCATGGTCTTGTCCTCCAGCATTTCTACCTAAGATCATTTCAATTGGAGGTGATGAGGATTGGATCTTCTGAATGCAAAATATCTGCAGCGTTCCTTGTACCTTTTCATTTCTGTAGCCAGTACTACAGAGCATGGGCTAAAGGTAAAGGCAGACCCACACTTACCATAGACAAGCATTAGCAAAGTCTCTCATTCTGACACTGCCTGTCAAAGCAACATGTTTCACTAGCTTAAAAATTTACATCACTGGGAGAGGTGGGTTTGATGTTTGTTTAAAAAATTAATATAATGCATACTTAAATGTAACTTTAATATTTTATTTCAGTGCCATTGTATGTTACGATGAGTACGTAAATTTTTACAACTACTTGACATCAACCAAAATGTGAATGAGGTTGCATAGGTTAGTACTTCAGGCAGCAGAATGTCACTTTAGTCCACTGAGGCATCAAGATTCACAGTGTACAGGGGGATAAACAGGATTTAAAGCATTTATCATAAAATATGCTTTAATAGCTGGTGTTATCCATTTGCAAAACAAAAGCTAAACTATGTCATATGGTACAATCCATTGAAATTCTTTCCCCCAATGGGCAACAATGTTCACATCATGATTTCAGACTTCCAAAGAAAAGTACAGTTATGCAAATTATTTAGGAATATGGATTTTTAAGCAAAATATACATCAAACTACAGCACATAATGTATTTAAATTTTTGCTATTTATAAATTGCAAAAACCAGTAGATGAGTTCCACATCATGCTAAACAAATACAGTAAATAAGAAAGATTTCTGCTGCTTTAGCAAATTGTACTTTGTAATGTATGCAGAATGTAATAATACACTAGGTAACATAATGACATCACTAAAATAATATGTTTCGGTATGTAGTAACTTGATTATATCATACATACACAATATACAATTTCTGTTCAACAGATGCAAAAGGCATATGAAAAATCCTTTGAATGTCCCAATGAAGTACATGTAAACCTAGAAGAAGAAAAATAACTCCAGTTCTCCACAGGGATTCCTATCTCCACAGGGATTCCAATATTGTACTTCTCATAGACTTAATATTTTGGATCCAAATCAAGAACATGCATGCTTCAGAGAGACCCGTGTGCTTAGCCAAAGTTTTGTATGCTCTTCTTCATTAAATATGGTTTGATTTGTTTATCATTTTTTCTGCTTAGCTAAAACAGCAATTATACATTTTAAAGGGGCTTAATGGCAAGGGTGGAAATTGTGTCTCCTTCCAAATATTGTTGTACTGCAACTCCTAGCATTTGGTTATGGTGGTAGGACTGATGAAAACTGCAATCCAACTACATCTGAAGGACTATGCAATCCCCCAATCTGTTTAGGGGCAATCCCTATGAGAACAAGAATACCAACGAAGAACGTTGGTATTTGAACAGAATATGGGAATGGAAGCCTATGTGGTCTGCAATGAAGCCAAGAGAACAGCATTATATTCACTTAAATCTTAAATATGTGGAATTTTTACTTATCTTGTCTTTTAGCCTACAACTGCAATCATTTACACAGTACAGTCAATGGTAAGTGAATGTAAAATCTGTAGTCCACAGTATCAGGAGGAACCCAGTTTTCCCCACCACTGATTTAAGATATGCAGCTAGAAAAAAAAACTGAGGGGCAAATGCCTCTTCTTTTGCTCTTCTAACAATAATCCTGAACAATTAAGCCACTTGTGTTAATCAAATGTTTGGCTTGAGTCATCACTAGAGTTTGGGGATGAGATTGAAACAAGTTCACAGTTCAAATTTGGGATTATGGGTAAACAGACAGAAATCTGAGAATTGTTAGCTAGAGTTAGCCAAAAAGTAAACTACAAGAATTAAACCTTGCAGATATGGTGCAGAATTAAGTGATACACAGCCTCTAAATAGCCTACTACTTCCTAACATTCCCAGCAGTTTGTTGATACATAGATATGTTGGAAATACCTCATCCAATGAAAATGAAACCCTGTAGCAGTATAGCACTGTCTAGCTAAAGACATTGAACTGATCTGGCAAAAATTCTAAGGGCTTTCAGTTGGATCTCAAGTATAGTGTGTTGAATACAGGACTGTGACTTTGGAACTAGAGTTTGAATCCCTGTTTGGTCATAGAAATCCACTGGATGACCTCGGGCAAATCACAATCTCAGAGGAAGGCAAAGGCAACCTTCCTCAGATCAAATCTTGACAAGAAAACCCAAAGATAGGTTCACTTTAGTGTCACCACAAGTCTGAAATGAAAGCACAGAAAGTAAAAACAAACCAAGGACTGGACCTGTAACTTTCAGCATCAAAAATATGTGCTCCATTATAAACAGGTGGAAGCTGCATTGCCACCTAGAAAAAGAAATCTGAAACTGAAATGTACAAATCTCTTGTTTGAATTTGTGTTTGTGTGTATATACCCTTACATATACAGCAAGAGCAAATGAAGCTCTGACTAATACACACTAGTCTCATCTCTTTATACATGCCATTGCTTTGGATCCTAGATTATGAACTGAAGAAATACTGGAGAACCAAATAGAGGAGGATTAAAGAAGGCGTTGTACAATATTTCATCATTTTAATTTGGCATCTTTGCATTTCCTAGCAAAAACTATTGGCTCTGTTCTATCTAGTAAATAGTCAAAGTTCTGGGTCACTGACAGATTCCAGCATGCTATCAATTTTTAACCAGAGCTAATCTAACAGTTAACAGTAGGCTGTTAATTGAAAACACTTAAACCTTAATAGGTCTTAGTTACAACCATATCATGGTAAATCACCATTCCTATTCTATTGCAGAATGGTAATTGCATGTCAACCATCACTACAAGGAATATGTGTCACAGTTACCAAATGTGATAACTTATATATGATTTCAGATATTGTTTCTGGAAATAAGCACTTCTCATTTTTAAAGGCAAAACGTTACCAATAGCCAGAGACAATATTGAGGATGAAAGAGCCAAAATATCATATATACATCAGTATTTTTCATGTACCAGTTGTGAAATTCATATTCTTTCTTTTATTCTGAACAATGTGAATCCAATTACTGTACTTCCCTCCAGTCCAACGCTCACTCTGTAGCATTGCTTGGGTTTTTTATAATGCAAATCCCAAAGATTGCCATTATTACTTCATTGCTTGAGAACATTAAGGTTCACGAGAGAAGTATATGAAATGTTTAACATAGCCAGAGAAATGGAAATTATTCTTGGGGCTTCTGGAAATGGCTGTGAGAAATGGTACCAATGGAAGGCTCCTTCAAAATGAAAATTGCTGGTTCAGAGATGAGATTTCTGCTAGAACTGTACAAGGAGATAAAAGAGTTAAACTTCCCTTTGCCTTCTATTTCCCTCGCTTCCAAGACTTTCTAGGCTTCTCCTCAGATGCTATTTACAAAGTAAAAAAATAATGAGGTGGCAATGCAAATAACAGTTTACATTTGTCTTTCATGGCACTTTTTGATGCCATAGACTGAAGTGGCAAAGGCAAATTCAAAGCCATTCCCTACATGTAAATTGAAGTAGTATGGTCACATGAGAATTTTGTTCTGTCTCAACTCAGGACAAGTGAATGAGCCACTAGACTCTTATTACCATTGATTTGATTTCCCTGCTAGTCCAGCTCACACTAAAATGCCCTAAACTGGGTGAGTCCAATGGTAGAAATTGCAGAAAGATGGCCAAGAGACAAAATGGCTACTAATCTTCTGGATAGATATTTATTTCCCCTGATAGATAAAACAGAATAATAGAAATGAATAATTCACTGCAGAGGAAGTCTTTAATCTTTGCACTTACAAGTGACTTAGCATGTTTAAAACATCATACCACCCTTAATAATTACTAAAATAATCATGAAATATCACTCTGGTTTTTGAGAATGCGTCTTTTTTAAAAGCAGTTAGGTTATACTTTCTTTAGACAATAAAAAGTACAATGTACAAAAATGGACCCACTATAATGGACCCAGGCCATTTAACCCCTGATTTCAGAAATTCATTCAATTAGCAGCAGCTGTTCTAGCCCTTATATGCAAATATATGTACCAATCTTTTTTGGGTTTACATTTCCCTGCCTGAATTTAATTCTTTAAAAAACATTCCTTTTTAACAGAGAAAAATAAGAGACAAATGATCACAAATGGCAACACTTGAACAGAGTTGGTAGGAAAATAAGGTATTTCCGTATCAGAACTCTTGAGACATTATACATTTATAAAAGAAATCAGTGACATTCATAAAGATTAATTTGTGCATAAGAAATAAGGAAAGTATCTGAATAAATTTACTTTTATGCATTACTCATTAGGATTGGAAATTTATCTAGACTGAAGAATGAATTCAGACATTCAAAAAAATTTATGTTTCCTCAAAAGTATTTTTCCCAACTTCTGTCCTACATAATTTGAGAAAAAGTTCATTGAGTTAAGAATAATAGTTTGTGTCCATGGATTTTCTTCACCCAACGAAAGAAATCTCCTCAAAAATGTGCTCATCTATTGGAAGAAGGAAATGTCTATCCAGCCAAATAACACATTTATAAGATACTTTAGAAGGACTTGCAAACAGTGCCTCATGTTTTATTTTACTGTGTTCTTACAAACAGATGTCTTAGTATCATTATCCCATGAATGAGGGCAGCTTACTGAAACCTATCAATTGGCCTTGTGTCAGAGAGGTAAGAATTGTATTAGGCTTTTCATTCACAACTCATGACAATAGCCATCCAAGAAGAGTTAATGGTAAGGTGGAGGATATGTCCACCTCAAAGACACAAACAAAAAGCTCCATAGACATAAAAGCTACTTCAGGCAATGTCCTCCCTGGCATTAGGAAACAATAGACATTGAAACAGGTCATTTCCTGCTTCCTTTTATTTGAATGGAAGGAAAAATAGTGACAGAACCACAGGAAAGGAAAACAGTAGGAAAATGTATCTTGCTTTCTTCTCCAGTCACCTATGTGCTGACAAGGTCCTCAATATCAGAGATACTTGACAGAGTAGCCACTCCCTTATATTGTTCTCCTCCATCTTTTATCAACTATGCTATATCAGTTCTCATCCAGTCCTAAAATGGGGAGGGCACAAGCTGGTGGTTAGAAGACCATTTTTGGCACCTCTGGTTTTCAGATAGGCTACTATAGCCCATCACAGCCATAATGTTCTCTGACAGAAAATAATATTCTGGGTGCTTCTATTCATATTTGGCCTGGATCTTTTTTTCTTTTTTTGAGATGGAGGACCCAAAAAATGTGTCTAAGTGCAAAACATTTTGGCCAAGAAGAAAAAAAACATTGGGGGGGGGGGGGGTTTGGGGGCTTCAGAAAGTCCAAAGGCCACAAGGAAGCTACTCAAGGGCCATAAGTATTCTGAGGACCACACATGCAACATGTCCTAAAATGTCTCAAACATCTCAGAAGGGTTTTGTTATTCCTCTAAAGCTGATTAGAACCAAGCTGTTGAGACAGTAGCACTAAGCTAATGAATTGCATGCTTCTTTTCAAATGTGCAAAATAGTACATTTTTTGCATTGCTCATCTTGTTATGATAGCAAAATTTCTCAAATGGCTACCATGCTTTACTTATTGAACAATTCAATGAGTTATGTATTTACAAGAATAGAAATTGATTAAAAGTCTAATAATATTTTCTTCTACTAATCATTTGTGGAGACAACTCACATTGCTTACCATTCAGTTCAAAATCTAAGCTCACATTCATATTGTAAACTCCATCACCCATTACACTGTTACAAGTAAAGCATATCATCATTTGCTTTCATGACATGGTATTATAACATCCCAAGACAAGATTCTTGTCAGAAGGAAAGATTAGAGATAAATGTTATTTGTAAAGTGCTTTAAAGATAATCATTTCTATATAAAGAGCATTAGTACAAGGGAAAATAGAAAAACGTTGGAATTAACAAAATAGAAAAGGTAGGAATTAACAAATGTACTCTAAAATTGTCTCTTAGCTGTGCAAAAACACAGCTATCTCATGACTTGTGGATCATTCACAACAGTTGGTTTAGGAAGACTGGCATGAGCTGGCACTATGGATGAGAGCAAACAGAAACTTCTGGATAAAATACAGTTGACTGGACAATTGTTTATCAGGAACTGTTCACCATTAAGAACAAGATATATTTTGTTTAAGGCTGCCAGGCAGTAGTAAGCAACATTGGATTACATCATTCATTACGACAAAAATAATATATATAAATTTGGTTCATATGGGTTTTTAATGGCTCAAATCTTAACAGCAAGCTATAGCCTTTCACAATTTCAAAGTCACACATTAAAAAAATATCTGCTGCTTTGTGATTATAGCTTTAATGAGAAATACGGCCTACTGTAAAGGCAGAATTATATTTGGGAGCTAATTGACAGAAACCTTTACATGATTACAAGCACCAGGTTTACAGTTTCCATCAAGAGTTCATTTTTACAGACCATGTTAACTAGCATATTTTTGGAACTTGGAGCTTCTTGGATGTCTTAGAGGACGTGTATGTAGACTTCAGCATATGAACATAGATTGATACATTAACAGGGAAGTAAAGAAGGTGTGTTTTTAAAATACTCTTGTAAAGATTAGATAAAACCAAAATAAAACTGAGGACTAATAGTAAGTATTAATTAACAAACTCAATATAATTTGCCGGAAGCATTCCAGTTTTCCCAGTTCTCTGAACAGTACCATACATCCAACCATCGTCAATTGGTTGTACATTGATGATGTAGTCACCATCTCTGAAGGAAACTTCATCTTCATCTTGAGCACTATAGTCATACATAGCTCTGTATGTTCTCTATTGAAGGGAAAGCAGAGATAACTTAATTACATATATTCTACAGGTAGACAGCTACAATAACTGCTAAGATACCAGTCTCCCAAACACATATTATATAAATTGCATTTTTCACTATACTAGAGAAAAACTCCATCAATAGTTTTAGAAGCATATCATTGCCTTAATGTTGGTGAGAAACAAAAAGACCAGTCCCATTACACATAATTATATAATAAGAGTGTCATGAAAAATAATTCAATTAGCACTGAGCTTTTAATTAATATTCCATGCAGTAGATGGATTATGTAATTTCATATTCACACCACGTTTCAAGCCTTAACTCTCAATAAATATTTTAAATTAATCCTTCATCAAGTCCGGGGGGTATTAAGACGTACAAATAAAGGGTAAGGATGAGGGCTTCTGATGCCAACAAAATTACTCTAACAATACTTCATTAGAACCTACTGGAAAGTCATTGTGCCAATAAAATCAGGTATTTTAATGAAAATTGGGTAGGAGATCACCACAATGGATCATGCTTTTTAAAAAAACTGCACGGCTGTGAAAATGACTCCATAGCATGGAGCTCCACACGTGAAACTCCTATGACCTGACAGCTATCAAGCCTGACATGGCCCTTCTCCTGTTACTTATCAGTGGGGAAGAGAAGGGCAGCAAGATAATTCATACCATGGAGAAGTAGATAGTCTTTGGAGGAGGAATCAAAATGTGCTCCTAAGGCACATTTGCTTTTTCTTCCCTCAAGAGCATAGTGCAGGCATATCTTGTGGCCTGATTCTCTTTCTGCCCTCTACCCTGCCCTCTAGCAAGAAGAAGCAACCTGGGACTTGATGCGGCCAAGTGAGGGAGGCTTTTGGACAGAGTGCAAGGACAAAACAAGAGCAAATGCTTTATCCATGTATGCTGTACTTAAACATGTAGGTTACTAGCAGGAGCTGAATTCAAGGTACTACTGTTAACCTACAAACCTCTAAACAACTTGGGGCCAAGATATCTGAAAGACCACCTCCTTCCATATGAGTGTGCCGAAATTTGAGACCTTCAATGCAGGCCCTGTTGCATGTCCCAGTACCTTGTAAAGATAGGTTGCTGGATATACATACACAAAATATTTCTCTGTAGCAACACCTCATCTATATAACTCCCTATCCAATGAGTTTAAGCTTCTAGTGGGTAGACAAAACAGTGCTGTTCTGCAAGGCAATAAGTGCTTGAAATTGCTGTTTTAACTGTTCAAAATTGGATCCTAGGATTGTTTTAGACTACTTTTAAAAGTGCATTTCAGTGTGTTTATAATCTTTTTTTCTTTGTTGTTTTAATTGGTTTATATTTGTTCATCACCTCTCGGGCCTTTGAGGCTGGGAGGCAATATAGAAATATGTTAATGAATAAATAATAAAATGTAAGTTTTTTATTCTCTGGTCATGCCAGTTGCTAGAACATAGCTTTTGGGTACCTTCCAGAATTTCAAGTGCTCCTAGACAGTGCATTTATCCTCATTTAGTTGTTATGGACTATATTGTTTGTTATATTATTTTTAGTGCATGACACTCTGATCTCCTTTAAACAAAAGAGCAAGATAAGAAATAAATATTGTACAAATTAAAAGGTGCAAACATGAAATTACTCCTGTGATACTTTACCTATTCTATATCACATTTACTTTATGAGGAAAACTGTGTGGTGAATTTCTAAACACTTGTACACTATTTTTAAAAAGGCAATTACATTACAGAAAGAGAGGTTCCAGCTCAAAAGACACCTTTCAACTTAATACTCACCAAGTTAGCTGAATGTGGCTGTGAATGCATTGATCTCATTGACGACACACTAGTCTGGTGCATGTAACCATATCCTTGGGGTTGGCTTTGTTGATATGCCCCAGGAAGCACAGGGGCTACATAATAAAGAAACACAAAGGCATTAGTAATACAAGGGAACATGTTACAGAAATTCCACAACTGAAATGGTGGTTTGCTCTCCTAATTCGAAGGCCTGTAGAAATTAGCAAAAAATTGGCTGGAAGTAGATTAAGCAGGCAGAACTTCTTTATGCACAAGTATCCTTATCAGGGTCAAAATACCTCCTATGGGTACTTTATATGGGTTAATACCACAAGCACACATATGCCAAAGCTAACAGATGTAAAGAAAAATGTAATTTGCCTACAATATTGCAAATTAAATTAAAACATTCTATAGTGATAGCAAATGTCAGCCACACTGCTGTGCAATCTCCATTCACTTCAAAGTAGTTAATGGTCAATAAATCATTATAATCTTAAAAACTACTCTTTTTCACCTGTAATCATAGCTTCATTTCAACATTCATCTACCATGTGGTTAGTAATAGTGATGTTAGGCAACTACACATACTTTTTAAAGAAAACTTAGATTTTATCAATACTTAATTCAAATATCAGTGCTAAATCAGGCTTTTGACATCATTTCTTTTCTACAATAATAATTTTGTGCCTAGGCTGGTTTTTCATGAGCTCTTTGAATTTGAGAAGTGTGAGTTTGATATATCTTATTTTATGTTTTCTTCAATCCCAGGCCATACGAGCTATAAGCATGTGGGATAGCCAAACAGGTATGTGGCACTTACAGAAATAATACATTATGGAAGAGGAAGCTCTTCTTTAAGATTTACCAAGTTAACAACTTACAATACAGAGATGACGCTAAAGGGTTTGGTTTTTCAGAAAATTGTGTATTTAAAATATAGATTTCAAATAAGAAACACACAGACTTAAATTAAAATCCAAACACAAATTCTAGTTCCAACTACAATTGTCCCACTGACTCAATTGCTGAAAAGTATTAAGTCAATACTGATGTAAATCCAATTGATATATTCTAGTTGGGTTTCACAATTGGATTTAGGCCATACTTGTCAGGTGCTAATGGGAATACTCAAGTTATTCCATTTTAAGGCTAAAACATGAAACATCAAGGCACAGTTTAAACGAGCTGGAAATATAGCCAAGCAGAACAGAAGATTGCAATGAATATTTCATAGACGTATTTAAGTGCAATACAACCCCCCCCCCCTTTAAAGTACAGACAAAACAACAAGGAAACGTATCAATACACAATGTATATCCATGTATATTCATACACAGAAATGGCCTGCAACTCATTTTGTAACACTGAAATGCTAATCCTATGAGTTGCTACTCTTATTCTACCAGCAAAATATGAAATAACATGGGGAAGTTGGGAATACCTATCTCCATTTTGCAACATATATTGGATAATATATTACAATGAAAAAATGTATCTCAATATAGACAGATTTATAGACAGCAAAATCAGGTTTCATTCTCATTAATTCCTCTGAAGTACAAATATGACGAAATGTAGTTTGAGCATATGAATCAGAGCAGAAATCTTTCAGCGGCGCTCTGAATATGCAGAATTTCTATGGAAAAGGCAGATAAATGTTTTACAGCTGGCCCTCCATATCCATAGGTTCTGTAACCATGGATTCAATCAATCACTGTATCAAAATATTAAGGTGATTTTGCGGTGTGCCAAGCACTAGGATAAGGTGTAGACATAGCCTCCTGCTATTTCACAAATTGTTGGAGTTTTTTACCATTTTATATCAGGGGCACCACTTTATTACACAATTGTATGTAATGGGAGTTGATCATTGATGGATTTCCGTATCCAAAAGAGAACTTGGAGCCAAACCTCAGTGCATACTGAGGGCCAATTGTACTTAATGTTATAACAGACAGGGAATGACTACAGGATTCCAGCATCTGAGAATCACAGATCTCTTTTTAGTTAAAGTCAGTGTCTAGTCTTTTAAGCAAGACATCACTGAAGTTGTTCAAAACAGTCACTCATTCACAGGGAATGCTGACTGTTTCAAATAGTTTACTTCACCAATGTTTATGGATCACTCCTATGAGCCATGTTGTTTTGGGGGGGGGGGCTGGCTTGGAAAATCACTGCACAAATTTGAAACAATTTGAAGGTACACATAATAAAAAACAAATAGGACCAGTTATTCTCCAATCTACTAGCCTACTGTTTAAAAATCCTGCCTCTGAAGCGAAGGATTGCAGAATATGATTGCTCAAAGCCAAAGGCCTTCCTCTCTTGATGATGATATAATTACAACATAAATTTATAATGATTATCTAGTAAAGCCAAACCTAGACTGGATGTGCCAGTATCTATCATATACATGCACACACACACACAAACCTATGCTTCTCAGCATTTATTCTGTGGTGATGAGCTGGTGGTACCTTGAACAAGATACAGTCATGAAAGTGAGAGACACCCTCCTAAAGTAAAAATCATACACTTGGAAATTATTTATGCTCTTGTCTTCCATACACTTGTAACACTGAAAATTAAAACTAGATGAACTTCGTTAAAACAAAATAATAAAAACAATTTTATAATGTTCCAGCTCGATTTCTCATAGGAACGCTGGTATTTTTTTTAAAGTATTTCCTCTCATACATAGGTGTTCATTCACTAAAAAAACCAATATTGCTGAGTTAAATGTGAGGTGTGTAAAGAACTGGCACACTGTGATGGTTAAGCAAAGGAAAATAGTGGGCATATGTGGTTACCTCCTTCATTAGATGGCTTTGTTACCTCACTTGAATAAGAAAATATAGAACCATCTGACTTGTCATCTCCAACGCCAGAAGTACTGGTAGAATGAAAATGCTGTTTATTGTAACGCCTTGCTTTTTCTACAAGAAGAAATGCAGTACTTAAATAGCTATAGGATAAATTAGTAAAGAAAAAAGAGAAGTGTATTTAAAATAGAAAAACAGAGCAGGCAACAGTATGGCCATTTCCTTTGTCAATACCATGTTGTGAGTTCTATAAAATGCACAGGATGCCCTGATAGAAGTCAAAATATTGGATTATACAGCCACATGCATATCAATAATCCCTATGAAAAATTAATCTAAACTGTTACAGGGATATCTTTATATGTGTATTTTATAACTGGGGGTGATGAGTATTCACTGCTTATATCACACACATTTTATGCCAGTTAGACCTCAGCAAATTGTTCCATGCAGGTTATTCATGGGGAGGGGGAGGGGGAACCATATATAGGAAGTGAAATCCAATCCAGTTCATCCATGTGCACTTAGCTAATTATACTTTATATTAATGTGGTCACTGCAACAACAAAAAATAGTGCCTTTCTGCCCACACAAAAGAGTTTCTAAAACTCTTTCACATATGCTTTCACAACTACCATCAGACATCTGGAAAAGGTCATGAGTTTAAAAGTACCCGAAAGCATATGGAGACTCTTAGACTGAATATTATCTTCCAAAGGGTCAATGTCGAAGATGGAGCCAGGATCTGTGCGCCAAACTTTGAGGTCTTTCCCAAAAAGAAATGATGAGACAGAAAGTGAAGAAAGTAAAAGCACAAAGATGTGATCAACTGTTTCACTATGCAAAGGAATCTTGTAGTACTCTTGAGACTAAGAGAAAGGAGTTGGTAGCATAAGCTTTCACAGACTAACTACCTCGTCCAGTTCATTGCTGGGCGTCAGGAAGCTGCCACCACACGCCCCGCATTGCAAGGCTCCTCCAGCAGCTTATCACACAGGGAGAAGCATAGTGTGCACGTGGAGAGTGTGGCTTCCCCCATTATAGGAATGGCAACATGAGAAGCCTACCATGTTGCCAGGGCAGCAGCGGCACACCAATTCCGCCTTCCTTCATCCACAGAGCCGGCATGACATCATGTGATTGGAGTCAGCTGATTCTGCGGGTGACCAGGGCTAGATACGTGTTTACCACTGAATCTAGCCCTGTATGATGAGATCATTAGTCTTTTTCATCATTATGTCCACAATTAAAACAGGAATAACTTTATTTTTTAACAATTGAATGGGTATCCTTTTTAAGCCAAACATGCAGACATACACACAAATAGTCAAGGAACAAAATTACAGTATTCAGCACTCCCTGAAATTGAATCTACACTTGTTCCTTAGATGTAATGTTGCAGAGAAGTACCAAATAAAACAATTTCAATACAAATATGTAGCTTGATAAAGACCTAGGTTTTACATGAAATAAATAAATCCAAGCTATCCGAAACTATTATAAACTGGTCATTGGGAGAATCACGTATGACTGGTAGATGCCAGATATAGCAACTTAATCACTTACAGAACATATTTGGGTTGCTAGGTAAATGTTAAATATCAATGATAATATTCATACTGAGATTTTTGTATAATAACACTTGTATAACTCTAGGGATGCAGAGAGTATTTCCTGATCAAAGATATCAAATATACTTATACATAATGTAGGTAATTTCATGGGTTAAGTAGATCAAATTTGAGGGATACACATTGAGCCTACTTCTATAGTCAGAGCTAATACTAGAATTTAGTCCAATGTATATTCCTCAACTCTGATCTACTGAATTCATGGGATTACCTATATGTTGATTTACCATTCTAAAATTGATCGAACAGATCTACTTCAGTTGGGACTAATGTCATTCATAATGGGTTAAGAAGATAAATATGAAATATGCAACCCCCACTCCCACTACAAGAGACACTGGAGAATATTGGCAAAGTGGTTATATAGCTGTAGAAGCATGATTTTTGCCAGAGGAGGGCAGAGAGTGCTACAGTGACCTGTTGAAAAGTATCTTTTTAAAAAAGCAAGCAGAAAGTAACTGAAATAACAAGTTGGTATCTTAAGTTCTCTTAGACTAAAGACCTCATTCACACTAGAGAATGAATCCACTTTAAATCCAGTTTCTGGCTCCTACAGAATCCTGGTGTTTGTAGTTTTTGAAGGAGCCTTTAACAGCCTCACTAAACTACAAACCCCAGAATTCTGCAGGAGGCAGAAATAGGATTTAAAGGGGATTCATTCTCTAGTGTGATGAGGTTCTCAGTCTACTTCCTCAGATGCAACTATTTGTAGTTTCCGATGTTACCTAAAGACTTTCAAATGTGGTACAAATAGCTAAGGAATATAATGCATCCCATTTTAGAGCATAAGGCATCTCATTTTCACTTCAACACACAAGTAAACTATTCTAGTTCCCAAATAAATAAAACGCATGTATAGCCAAGAATGAAAACCCTGCCTTAGGAGGCCCTAGAAGTGCGAAACTGAATTCCTTTTATGCTAATCTACATGCAAATGTCAAATGGCAATTTCTTCTGTGATTACTCTCATCTCTAAAAGTAAGTTACAAGTGTTAATAATTGGTCCTTCATATTAATGGTTTAAGTACCTTTTATATTATGCCTTCTTTTTTTACCTTTAAGCCTTTGTGGAGCAAATTAATGTTTGATTAGAATTCCTTTCATCTTATCATCTGTTATGTTAATTAATATTCTCATTACTGCAGAGGTGACTGCAATTAGCAATTTTGCTGGAGAACAATTATTGTCTGACAACCTAACACTGACCTACCATTTTAATCTGAAAAAGAAATCTCATATGATGCAGAAGTATATAACATCAAATACAGATAACACTGCAATTAAATAGAACAAAAAATCCTTCATAATAAAACAAAATTACTCTGGTCACAGGGAAATATCAGAAGACCTGACCTTGAATTAGTAAGACATATAGAGTAACTTACCCACAATTATTCCAGGTCTCCTGTCCATTTCCACTATGTGTGGGTGAACTCCTTTATAAGCAGCATCACTAACCACCTGGGTATTTCTTCTTACCCGTTCAGTTACAGGATCATCCACTATTGGAGTGAATCCTCTGCCTTTTGTCTTCTCAAAATCTTCATGGTACTTGATCTGGGGAAGAGTAAGAAATATCTTACCGATCAAAGGCAAAATGCATTAACAACCACAAAAGGATTAAACATTTCCATCCTCCCTTTTGTTGGGGGTCATCATTTTTCTTTGCATATTACTTACTATAACTATGCAATTTATTGTTGGTTTATCTACCAATATATTTTTAATTCCAGGGATCTTCCTTAAGAATTTTCTCTGCAGTAATTGTATTATATATGCATAAAAAGAGTTCCATGCAGTTTAATATGTTTAGCATCAATCAGTTGCATTCCCATGCAGGTGATGGCATTAAAACTCTTCCAAAAGAGCTCACATTTCAAACAAATTCAAAAGCAGTGAGAACAAATGTTCCAGACTTATTCCCAAATTAGTACACATTATCAAGGCATAACAAATATTTGCAAACTTTTTGAAAAGCATCCTCATACTGTCATGTAAACCACACACTCGCACAGACATAACATTGCAAGCAAAAACTATCAGAATACATACATTCACAGTTCAACTTGCACGCACAAACCAGGGACATGCATGGGCACAAGGCAGTGTGTGTATCACCCTCTCCAGTGATATTCTGGGGTCCAGAGGGAGAATGTGAAATGTCTTAAAGGAACCGCAAAGTGAATTATTAGAAACATAACTTTATTAGTATTGTAGGAACAAAATACATTCCTAATATGCAGGTAGCAAATCTGTCAAACAATCAATGTGTAAGAAAAAAAACATTAGTTCACACTTTTGTGGTCTGTGCTAGTTACCTGGATTAATGAAGTTGTATGGATTAATGAAAGGCAACATTCAATCAACAGCAAAATGTCCTTATGGTATTTAGAAAACACTAGCCACATGGAGAATATGCCCTACCATTGAAATGTTGTTTTGCGTCTCTTTGACATGCCTTAGCTCAGGTGTGTCTAGAATCATACTAGGTCTACCTTTCATTTGTTGCTGATCTCTTCTGTACTTGACCTGAAAAACACAGTATTATCACCATGTGCAAAGTTCTTGAATAAACAGATGGTCCTGAAAATCATGCTTAATGGAATGTGAATCACAGTGGTCTACCAAAATTAAGTATCATTGACATTAGCTAGAATTTATCATACTTGAATAGGATGATACAAAAGGAAAGCTTTTAAAAACATTAGCAGTCACTGGGAAAAACACAGGTGGGTACATAAGAAAAACACAGAATTCTGAAGATTTGGTTACTGGATGTGACATAGATAAACACACTTTTCTACAGTATTTTTAGAGATTAAAATTTGATATGTAAAGATATGATGTAATTGGAATGTGTTTGCTGCATAAAAATGTGTTCTCCTTTAAAGAAAAACAAGGAAGAAGTAACGAAGGACTTGCCGCGCTGATAATTTCTTGATTCTTCTTAACTCTCTCCATCTCAGGGGTGACACTCACAGAAGTAGCTTTACCAAGCTGTCCTTTGTAACACACCTATTAATTAACAGATTGAAACATAAAGGCTAATATTGAAATAGAACTATGATATGTCCAAATTATTTGGTGTTTCTTAACACTGATACTGAAGAACTATTGATTGCTTGATAAAATATGCAAACACAAAAGTACTGCTAATTTTAAAATAATTTATTTTCTGGTGCAGATAATTAGATACTGTTATTGTTGTGCATTCTCTATTAAATTCAGTGAAATTTGCTTGTGGTCACTGGACCTGTCAACAGTATTTAAAGCAAAAAAAAAGGTTTTGTTTCATTTCAGTGTTCATGACAAAATCAAAACACTTTCCAGGTTAAAAGAATACCACAAAAATTACCAAACTGAAATCCTAGAGAAGAAACTGAAGAGAGATAAAGAGGTTGTAGAGGAATGGATTTCCCTTAAGCATTACACCTGGACACATGCCATTTTACAGATCTCCAGTCTCCCTCCAGTCTCACATCTCATACACAACACAAGTAGTAAACAAACAAGACTGAGGATCTGTGAAATACCAAGACCCCAAGCATAGTGCTTATAGCAAAATAATGCCTTTAATCAAGAAAGATCTTTGTTCCAGTCTTGCATCTTACTGTAGCCTTGCATCTCATCTGTTTGCTAATTTTTTGTTATGACATGTGAGACCAGAGGGAGAGAGACAGAGGATCTGAGGGCACTCCTAGACAAGGTAAAAACCCATGATGAAGTGGGTTTTAAAAATGCGCTTCAGCGTGCGATTTTGTCCACACACCCACCCAAAAAAATGGGTTTTCCCGGTTGGGTGTTCCCATGGCATCCCAGTAACTTCTGGGATGGCATGGGGCCACCCAACCCCCCAACCCCCCAAAAAAACCTTAAAATTAAAGGGAAACTTACTAGTCACCACACCACTCCTCTGGCAGGCCTCTTAAAGCAATTATCCTCCTCGCCCCCCACCTCCTGGCACATCAATTCTACACACCTGGAGGCCTGCCGAAGGAATAGCATGGTGGCCCAGTAAATTTTTTCTATTTTAAGGGCTTTGGGAAGGGTGAGGGGTATCCTCCTCGGTTCTCCAGGCTCAAGGGCACTGTCTGGAAGGATCCTGAGAGACTGGGGCACTGTGGGGAAAACACAGTACCCATAATCTAAAGAAGACTTCCAGGAAGAGTGACACAATGACTGTCTCAAAAATGGAAGCAGGTGGCACTAGTAGCAAAAAGTTTCAGATTTTTGAGAGTTTCCAATTAGGAATTTCCACATAATGGAGTCTCAACTTAAATATAAACCAAATATGCTAAGAATCAAATAGTTAATGAAATCTATCTTTTGGTATTTTAGAATAGTTACCTTCATAGTTTTTTGCGTGTTTTTCACATTGAACTTTGATAGCAATAATGTTGATACTATTTGTTTATACAAATAAGCACAATCAAAACTTACTGCACTAATATTTTGCTGATTTTTCTTTACTCTCTCGATTTCAGGAGTCTCTCTTAGCGGTATGCCAGCACCTATCCCCTTCTTATAAAGTACCTTCATTAAACCAAAAGGAGGAAAAATAATTATGAGTCTACTAGGGACAATAACACAAATAACTAAAAAGGGGAAAATAAGTAACATTCTAAATAGCAGATTACATTACACTGTTACTAATTTTACAGTTTGTGATAAATCACATGGATTCAGTGTTTGGGGCTTTTTAAAAAAATACTAGGTTGCATAGAAGTCAAATCTCAAACTTTGAATTTTAAAATATATTAGTTTAATTCAAACTATTAACACCCAGAGAGTAACACAACTTTTCCAAATAGGCTATGCAACTTATTTTGGGACCATGATTTGCACACTTCCATTTTCCTAGGATAAAAGGCAACTCATCTAATGTTGAGAACAGACACATTTGCTATTACTTACAGAACTGATATTTTTCTGTGTGTTTTTAACCCTTTTGATTTCAGGAGTGTCAGGCACAGAAGAATAGGTACACATCATCTTTTCTGCTTCATTTTTGTACTTTTTCTGTAAAACACACAAAATATAACACACAAGTACAAATACACAAAATACCAACACACCAACAACCTAAATATAAACAAATAAATAGAAATTGAATAGAAATCACTGCCTGATTGTGGTATCCTGGGCCTTACTGTAATTAACATCCAATTAAAGTCCAACTTGTTAATTATAAACCTAGTATCCACAGGGTAAAGCCAAATCACTACCATAACCTGCATGAGTAGTTCTTAAAAGGAAGATTCAGACCAGAACAAAGTGAACAATCCTGTGCACATAAAGGCATCAATGAACTAAATACAACTCTTAATTACTCTCCATTCCTTACGCACCTGGCTGGCTATTTCAGAAGCTTTCTTTGCTCGCTGTATCTCTGGGATATCTGTGCCCACTTGCACTCCTTTCCCTTTGATTTCAGTCTCCAGGTGCTTCGTATATTCTTTCTGCAAGAAATGGCCCGTTAATGAATTCTTAGACATACAATATCTTTAGCCTTTCATATCCATACAGCTGGAATAATGCATGTGTGCTCCTTTCAAAGTGATGTTAGCAACACAAACTAGATTCCTGATGCCCGGCTGTGCTTCTGTGGGATTCAGTTTTCTATACATTCGACTTTCAAAAGGATTTTGTCAAAACACGTTTTAAAGGCCCATTGTATTTTACTGTAAATGCCACTGAAGTGCTGCATTCGGCACTAACCTGGCTTGCAATTTCATAAGCTTTCTTCGCTCGTTGTATATCAGGGGTATCCATGCCCACCTGCATTCCTTTCCCTTTAATTTCCATTTCTAGATGTTTCTTGTATTCTTTCTGTGAAAGACAGAACAGGCAATACTCAGATCTATAGTAGTGCAAGCTTTTATATAGATTCTGCTTTAATCTATGTGCTTTTATTAAATAACACCCTTCAAAGTCAAAATGTCTTTTTACACACTCAGAACAGTGGCTCTACAGGAAAACTCAGATATAACAGATGTGCCATGTTTTTTAAGAACATCATTTAACACAAAAAGAAAGTTTTTCTTTTAAAAAATCAGCAAACTGCAAGAATATTCTAGGACTTAATATTTTAAAAATCTTATATGAAAATATTTTAAAATGTTTTCATTGTCTCAGGTCAGATTTCTGATTTGTTAAAACTGAATATTATGGAGAGTATATGAAATGCAGAAAAGGTAAGATCTATGTCCCAAGAGATTCACCTACTAATAGAAATGTGAACATATCCCTTTTAGAAATGCATTGATTGTGACTTTTCATGCAAATAGGTATGAAAATAACCTATTCTGCTTATCCATAGAAAAGGCATCCCGGGAGGTTCACTTTCTGTGAACTTTAGCGTAGAATTGGACAACTAGTATTGTGTTCCTGAAGCCAGCTGAACATAGGGAATTGCAGAACTATGTTATGCATACTATTTGGGATTTGACATTCTAATCCTTTCTTGATCACTACTTTCAAAAGTTAATTAACTGACCTCCTGCATCTACAATAACATTATAATTTCAATATCAAACAGCAACTAAGAATACAAATTTGTATGAAAACTTATTTTTGGGTGTTGTGCCAGTTTTCTCCTCATTCCTCTCAACCGAGTTAGGATTCTCTAGAACAATGATTCTCAACCTTCCTAATGCTGCAAACTCTTAATATAGTTCCTCATGTTGTGGTGATCTCCAAATATAAAATTATTTTCGTTGCTACTCATAACTATAATTTTGCTACTGTTGTGAATCGTAATGTAAATATCTGATATGCAGGATATATTTTCATTCACTGAACAAAATTTGGCACAAATACCCGATATGTCCAAACTTGAATACTGGTGGGGTTGGGGGGGGGGGTTGATTTTGTCATTTGGGAGTTGTAGTTGCTGAGATTTATAGTTCACCTACAATCAAAGAGCATTCTGAACTCCACCAACAATGGAACTGAACCAAACCTGGCACACTCCCATGACCAACAGAAAATACTGAAAGGGTTTGGTGGGCATTGACCTTGAGTTTTGGAGTGTTAGTTCACCTACAGCCAGAGAGCAGAAGGAGGGCTTTTGGTGGGAGGATTTGCCATCTGTTTCCAAAAAGGAAGAGAAGGACAGGTGGAGAGATCTTCAGCCTTCTCTGTCACAGGGGTTCCTAAGACCATCAGAAATATGCGTTTTCCGATCATCTTTGGTGACCTCTCTGAAACCTCCCTCATGACCCCCCAGCAGTCCCGACCTCAAAGTTGAGAAACACTGCTCTAAAATGTCAGATATGACAAATATGAGGAGTTGAAATCACATAAATTAGAGGTGGTCCGTTAAGTCCATTGCTTCCTGGGATTCACAACAGTAAGGGAGAAAACTTTTGTCTTGCTCTTCCCTACTATTTTTCTGACAGGAGCAGAATCTATTAGGGGGGAACTAATTTGCACTTTTGGGTTTTGTTTTTTTTTTCATTTGAGGTGAGGAGTAAGTTTTAAGTTAGTTTATTTCGGTGTCATTGTGTATGTTTGTTGGAGCTGTCTTTAATTCACCTCTGAATGCCAAGAAAACATAAAAACCATTGATCACTGTAGATATTTGGATTTTTGTTTGTTTGTTTGTTCTTTGACTGATTGAGATTTGGAGCACACATTCACCCTTTCTTCAACCAGTATGGGTTTATCAAGTTATCTGTTGGGTCTAGTAGGGATTTGGGGATAAGATCATTTGGGTTCCCTTATTTCATTTGCTTCAAGCTGCTTGAAGGGGGAAAGGATTTTGTAGTTGATTTAACTGCTCCTTATTCTGCTTCTGTCACATCTGGCAAAAAGTATAGGATGGATAGAGTGACTTAGAATGATCTGATGAGAATTCTTAAACACTTATTATTATGGGAAGAACGTCCTTCTTTGATGATGGAGAAATGGTAGATAGGACAGCTTCCTTTCTGAGATATTGCTTGAAACCATGGCAAGACTTTAACTCTGAATTTGATGAAACTTTAAAATAGAAATTCCTAAAAGTGTTACTTACTATTACTATAAAGAAGTTATTTTTAAATACTGAAGCTAGAGTTTGCCATCATTTGACGCTGTAGCTCATCACAACAAAAAAGGGCAAATTATGTTTACTTCGATGGCAAATAACAGAACACCTGATACTAGCTTCTACCTGTAAAATCAAGTGTATATTCTTTAAATTATCACAGTAATATGATATACTGGGTTATGCATGGAACAGTTAAACAAACCTGGCTTGCAATTTCAGATGCTCTTTTAGCTCGCTGAATTTCAGGTGTATCTGTGCCAACCTGCATTCCTTTTCCTTTAATTTCAGTCTCCAAATCTTTTTTATATTCTTTCTGTAAACACAAGATTCAAAATGAGATAAACAGGTAGGAGAAAATCAAAGAAATTACTTTGTTAAAGAGCTTTTTAGAGACACACACTGCGTTTTCAAAATGATGCTCTCATAGAGCAGTTTACAACTTAGGAAATGAATTAATAACTCTGTCAAGCAAAATTCTTGCAAACCCTTCAGCAATGTTTTGGTGCCATGCCTATTAAAAGAATGCCCTGTTCCTCTCTTAGTCTCTCTTTTTAAAAAAACAAAGAAATGCTTATTTTACATTCTAACGAGGTACAGAGACACCTCTGTGTTTTCTAGCAAGGAAGGATAACTACACTAATTCAAATAGCCCATGTTGAACTACAACAGTCAGAGAACTTTTACATGACTTGAGGATTATCTAGTGGAATAAATTATAAATAATTAAATTAAATGAATATTTTATCTTCAGAAAGCCCTAGTATAACACATCCTACTTCTCCATATAATTTAAAATGTAAAGAGAAGGGCGCTCAGTTAGCTTTCCTGGAAATTATATTTGTTCACAGCAATGTCAAGATTTCCACTAAGAGCTTTTCTCCTCAAACTCAGAATTCACAACTCTACTGAAATAAATGTCTCAAACAATCCTATACAATGCACATCTATTTGCAAGCCAGTCCTGTGGATTCAGCATTGCTTAGTTGGAGATAAGTAAGCATAAGAATACAGCCTAAATGGACAAATGACTGAGCAGTCCATAACTTCATTCCTGCTGCATGAAGAATGAGAAACATATGTCCTGCCAGTTGTTGGAGGATTGTATGACTGAGCATCACTTACCACTGACCATTCCAATTAAGAGATATTGGAAACTGCAAACCAAACAGCATCTCTAGGCTTACATGTTCTCTACCCACAGTCCATGCATTTTCACTTGATAAATTCCTATCTCTTGTCAAATGATAAGTATATGACATAACTCTACAATGACTTTCAACTATGTGAGTTGCTGCTAGGAGTGTCCCTCGCCAATAGTTCCCCATTGCAATGTCCTATCCCAATATGAGTTTTCTCCTCCCTTGTCTTCCTACCATGGAGCTCTTCCTGTAGCGATCTCAGTCTATCTAATATTTCTCTCTGGCTTGTTTGTGGGAGGCATTGGAATGATTCCAGCAAGTCCCCTTCCTCACCTATGTGTAACTCACCAAAGGATATTATTATTATTATTATTATTATTATTATTATTATTATTACTTTATTTGTACCCCGCTAGCATCTCCCAAGGGATTCGATGCGGCTTACAAACAGACCGAGGCCCACACAATACAGCAATACAGTACCTAGCAAAAAAACAGTTAAGCAAAACAATAACAATAGCAGTACAACAAGACATTATTAAAATTGAGCCGGCCAGAGTAGGGGTACAAGATTAAAAGTGCTGATGTGTTGGAGGAATATGGGGTTATAATATAAATGCGGTGTGCGGTGTGCAATGATCTTGGTTCTGATTAAAGTGCTTCTGGGATTTGGTACTGGGGATTCCTAATCTGAAAAGGCACATTGGAACAGCCAGGTTTTCAAATTCTTTCTGAAGACTGCCAATGTAGGGGCTTGTCTGAGGTCTTTTGGGAGGGCATTCCAGAGTCGGGGGGCCACCACAGAGAAGGCCCTGTCTCGTGTCCCCACCAAGCGCGCTTGTGACGCGGGCGGGATCACGAGCAGGGTCTCTCCAGATGACCGGAGTGAACGTGTGGGTTCGTAGACAACGATACGGTCACGCAGGTAGGGTGGTCCCAAACCGTTCAGGGCTTTGTAGGTAAGCACCTGCACCTTAAATTGGGCTCGGAAAATAAACGGCAGCCAGTGGAGCTCCTTAAACAGAAGGGTTGACCTCTCTCTGTAGTGGGCCCCAGTTAACATCCTGGCTGCTGCCCGTTGGACCAATTGGAGTTTCCGAGCCGTTTTCAAGGGCAGCCCCATGTAGAGCGCATTGCAGTAGTCCAGTCTGGAGGTGACTAAGGCGTGGACCACCCCGGCCAGATCAGCCTTAGCTGATCTCTATACTGGGCCAATTTTGGGGTGCTAAATACAACAGCTTTGCTGGGGGGGGGGGGAGCTGGTTAGTCAGTACATCTACTGCCATATCAGCATTTGGCTGATTTCTTGGAAACAGAGGTCCATCTTTATAGAAGCAGCCAGAAAAATTCCCGAATTGACTAGGTATAAAGAGGTTCTTAAAACAGAGGGACACCCTTGTGGAGTCCTAAGTCTCCATCAAGGTCCTAACAACTATCAGTGTTGAATTTCTGCAGTTCAAGATCTGCCTTACAGAGAGGTTGACTATAGATATACTGAGTCCCAAGTGGACCATGCTCCATTAAAGGGATAAATATCCAATACTTGTACATAGTTCTGTGATGTGAAACTAATATTCTGTTCGGTTTGAGCCCCATGCGCTTCCTTCTACCGTACTGGAAGGTTATTTCCAGAAGACCCTATACTCTGAAAGGCTATGTCCCTTTGACTCAGGTCACATAGAAACAATGGAGCATGTGCTTCTGCAGTGCCTGTTTTATACAGACATTCAATCTCATCTCATCTCGCCATGGACAATTAAATACCCAGGACGCTCTGGACAATTCTATGTAGCCCTGCTGCTCTCAGACATAAACTCGTCTGTGACATACAACATCGCTAAGTTCTGCACAGCTGCGATTAAAATCCAGCAGATGATAATTGAGATTCAAAAGACCTAAGCTTCATCTCTGGAATATAGCTGGGAAATCAGATATAGACTGATATTTATAGTGTTGGATACCCTCTTCCCCCGAAGCCATTCCCACCACCTCCCTTTAGACCACCTTCAGATGATCTTGTGGGTTGAGTTGGGTTTTAATAACTATTTGTATGTGGTTTTTAGCCTAGATTTTAAAATTTGTTGAAGTCTGAAGCATACAACCCCTGGGGTTTGATGTGGATGTGCGGAACTGGGTCACCCTGTTAAAATCTGGTCATTGACCATAATAAAGTTTACTTACTTACTTAGACTTTCAACTATGAGAAAAAGCACTACCATCATATAGAGAAATATAAATAATTCTTGCCCTGATGTATTAATAATTTTGTTAATTGCACAAAAACCATAAAAGATACAAAACAAGATTTTAGATGTTTTTCTTTCCTGACCTCACTAACAATTTCAGATGCCTTCTTTGCTCTTTTCATGTCAGGAGTTTCTGAAATGAGCCTAACTCCTTTGCCTTTTATTTGATTTTCCAGATCTTTTCGGTATTCTTTCTGTAAAAGAAGAAAAAACCAGAGGCAGTTTCAAAGCATGTCCTTTTCCAGCAGACTGTAAAAACTAAGAATATATTTCATTGGGTGCTTTGTGAAGGGCTCACTTTCCATGACATTAATAACCTTTGCTAGCATAACCTACCTCATTTAGTATCTGAGCTGCATTTTTCACTCTAATCAAATCTGGCGTATCTTCAAACACCGTCATTCCTTTTCCCTTCATCCCTTCTTCCAAATCTTTTCTATAATCTTTCTGAAGGTTTAAAAAAAACATTTCTATGCTTTAAATCGTGAGCAAGATCTTGAAAAGAAAAAACTTCTTATTAAATATTTGAAGGAATACTTTGAAAATCTCTATAAAATGTGAATTAGATAGCACACGTTTACCGTAGTTAAAATAGAATTGGGAAATCAAAAGATATGATGCACCAAGAGTGAAAGGATTGCTTTACAATCTGTACCTTGCTCCTGGAAAAAAATGTCTTTTATACACTAGTATTACAGTTACAGAGACACGGTATAAAATTGTAAGAGCTGCTATTCTGGATGGTAGCTCTACATGTTACAGACAAGTAAATGACCCTGTCACTCAAGTTCTACTAATGCTGTCATTATTCGCAAAGGTGCATTAAATACTATACAAAAGACACTTATCCACAAATCAGAGTTGCAAAGTATGATTAAATATGTGTGACTGAAATAAGCAGGTAGAAAGATATTGCATGAATATGGGAGAAAATGCGAACCAAAGCAATTTTCATCTGTGTTATGCACAGTCAGAAGAGGAAGCAGCTTAACACTTTGCTGTTTGATTGACAAAAGGAGGGATGCGATTTCAATTTAGGTCCTGAACTGAGCACAAAGTCAATTCAGACATCACACAAACAGTTAATGAAACTTAAGTATGATATGGTGTAATATCTATATTGGTAAGTTATGGTCAACAAACAAAAATAAAAAAGCATGGCTTGGAATGGGCTCACTGCACACAGTTTCTGCTAACAAGAGCTGAGCAGACAAACTTACAATGGCTACTGTGCAATTGAATTATTAACTTCCAGAGGCATTTGCAAGATAGAGATGGGAGAGATTTTGACTGGAGTCCTGTCAATTAATCCTCACCTAGAGTAGACACGTTCGATCAATTGTTGAATGCTGTGCCAAAAAGGAATGCTGTGAATTAAATGGATTCAGTGGCTGTATGCTAGTCAGGACTAACGAAAGGATTTAGGTATTTATGAATCTAAAAGTCTGACTCTTAACAGAATAGCAAATGAAACAGTCATGATATTGTTAACATTGTTTTTTTTAGGTTTTTTGGGCTGTACGGCCATGTTCTAGAAGCATTCTCTCCTGACGTTTCACCTCCATCTATGGCAGGCATCCTCAGAGGTTGTGAGGTTTGACAGACTGCACAGCCTCTGAAGACGCCTGCCATAGATGCAGGCGAAACGTCAGGAAGGAATGTTTCTAGAACATGGCCATACAGTCTGAAAAATCTAGAACAACCCAGTGATTCCAGCCATGAAAACCTTGGACGATAAATTGTTTTTTCTATGGTTTGTTTGGGAGTTCAAGAATGGCTTCAATTCCAAACTATGATATGATATAATATCTGAACTATAATATATGGTCGAACAGCAACTCTGCTCATTGCAGTTTTAATTTAATCAATAAAGATATGACCTGAATTAATTTCATATTGTTATCTTGAATCTTCATCTCAGAGTGTGTGGCATAAGGGAGTTTATAAATCTTTTAAGTAAATTAAGTCAACAGTTCATCCAGCACTTGACAACAAGTTACCTACAGATAGCCATATGGCTACAGAATAATTATTAGCAGTCCTTTCAAATCTTAACCTGACAATTTTTACCTCTTTCAACAGCTTAGTAATATGTTTCACATGCAAAAATTCTGGTGTCTTGTCTAAATCCAGTGCTGCCTTCCCTTTGACTTTATCTTCAAATTCTTTTCGATACATGTTCTGTGAAAAGAGGAATTTACTATTTATTTAATTCACACAGTTTATACATTTATTATAGAACATGTATAGGACTCATACAATAAGGATTAAAAGTTTCATTGAGCAATCTCCAGCACATAAGTATCACACATGATATAAATATTAATTCATGTAATATCAATTTTAAAATACAAAGTGATTCAGATAATTGTCTTATTAGCTCTCACATATCCAGACTGCTTATAGAATTGTGACTTAAAAATGGCATGGGAATGTTGTGAAGGTGAAGTTTAGGCATGTGCATTGTCATCATCATCATCAAGCCCCTTTCTTGTTCTTTTCTTGGCCTTTTTGGAAACAATACATCCCTAGTGTGAGGAAGAGCCAGTGTAGTACAGCCATTTGAGTGTCTGACTAGGAACCTGGAGAACAAGGTCCAAATCCCCACTTAGCCAGGGAAACTCACTAGGTGATCTTGGGCAAGTCACTCTCTTTCAATCTCAGACCAAGTCTTGCCCAAGAAAATTCAATGGTAGGTTTACCATAGGGTTGCCATAAGTCAAAATGACTTGAAGGCACACAATAACAAAGTGCTGAGATTTGATATTTCAAAAGTTCTGCTCAATGAAAATCAGTAAATGCACTCAGAGAATATCTATAGACTCAGTTTCAGAATATTCTTGCATTGTGGTTAATCTTTATTTTAGGAAAGAAGCACTCATAACCCTTAATCAAATGCCATAACAGCACAGTACATTGCTGACAATTGTATTACAGAAATAATTTCTAAAAGCATTTCACTAACCTCACTTTGAATCCTTTGCACCTCCTTTGAAACTTGGTATAATGGCGTATCAACAAATTCCAGCATAGACTTTCCTTTTGATTTTTCATATTTCTCTTTGTACTTAACCTAATAAAACAGAAGATTCATCAAAACTACAGACATGAAGAACAGTAAGTTCCTCATGTAGAGACCTTTACAATTCTCTCATATGAAGAGGAAGTTTTAATATGAATACAAGAATTTATATGTATACAATATGACCCTTGTATCTTCAGGGGATACATTTCCAGTTTAGTGAAAACTGCAAATAATACAAAACCCTATTGAACAAACAAATTTTAGCAGAAACATATCATATCGTCATGCTTGGAGTACCTAGGAAATGCCTAGAGAGAACACCTCTGTAGATATCTCTAGGTCTTCCAGCATGACTTTGGTCAACTTTCAGTGGAAGCATACTGTAGAGCAGTGTCTCTCAAGCTGTGCTCCTCCAGGTGTTTTGGACTTAAGTTCCCAGAAATCCCAGCCATCTTACCAGCTATTAGGTATTGTGGCAGCTGAAGTCCAAAACATCTGGTAGAGCACAGCCTGAGAAACACTGCTCTAGAAGGGTCCTAGAAAATGCCTAGAGATGAAATATTTTGTCAGATGCAAGTTAAATTTGTAGTAGTCCCACATATACAGGGGTCACAAAGTAAATAATTTCTCTCTCCAAATGTGCAGTTCTATTGGACTATAAACACAGTGGACATACCTGACTTTGAAGCACAGCATTTTCTTTGTGGTGTTGCTGTTCTGCTGTGTCTGGTCGAAAATGGTACATTCCCTTGTTTTTTTCAAAGATTCTTTTATATTCATACTGAAACAGACAAATATACCTTACTGACTTCTAAACTTCAAAGTGGAGCTGTAAAACTGTGAAAAATTTGTTTATTTTAAATTACAACACAACAACAACATGAATGAAAAAATACATTCTATTGATACATTTGAGACCCACAGGTATTTTCATGTTTTCAATGTGCTTTTTCATATAAAAATGGAATTGTGCTGTTGATTTTGCATTTTGGTAGCAAAGGCAGTCTTTCCACACTCAATGGAATTCAGCTGACAAAGGGTCTCTTGACTTTTTGAGAGAAATTTGTAGGGACCTGGAAAGCTAAAATATCCCCTAAACATGTGGTAGATCATGTGTAGCTGTTTGGATTCCAACATAAATCTACAATAATCCCAATGCATCCAGAAATGTACAGAGGAAGAAGATCCTCTCACCTCTGCAGGAGTCTACCGTATACCATGCAGCTGTGGACAAGTCTACATAGGGACCACCAAACGCAGCGCCCAAACAAGAATCCAGGAACATGAAAGGCACTGCAGACTACTCCAACCAGAGAAATCAGCCATAGCAGAGCACCTGATGAACCAACCTGGACACAGCATTTTATTTGAGAACACAGAAATGCTGGACCACTCTCACAACCACCATGTCAGACTACACAGAGAAGCCATTGAAATCCACAAGCATGTGGACAATTTCAACAGAAAGGAAGAAACCATGAAAATGAACAAAATCTGACTACCAGTATTTAAAAATTCTAAAATTGCAACAGCAAAAACAGCAGAGAGAAAAACAGGCAGGGACATCTAATCACCTTTCAAGAAGAGTTTGCTCCAGGCACAGTCAGCCCATTGTATGCTAATCAAGGTGGTCAGTTGAAAGATTCACACCTAGCCCAACTTACAAAAGTCCTTTGTCTCACCCTGGTCATTCCACAGATATATAAACCCTTTTCCCAGTTCCAACAGACCTCACCTCTGAGGATGCTTGCCATAGATGCAGGCGAAACATCAGGAGAAATGCCTCTAGAACATGGCCATATAGCCCGAAAAAACCCACAAGAACTGAGTGATTCCAGCCATGAAAGCCTTCGACAATACAGAGGAAGAATTGTTTGAGGCTACAGACAATGTAGTCGCTGTTGCCCTTTTTTGGTCAAAAGATATTTAGACGCTTGTGTTCCTTCTACTTTTATCAGTTTTATACTAATATATGCAATGCTTTTGATACAAAATAAATAAATAAATCCAGAAATGCAGAAATACTCAGTGTTTGATTTGGTAGTCTTTTATTGCTTCCTAATAGAAGCAATAAAACATGGTGTAATCTTCATACAGAGCAGAATTATTTTTTTCAATTTAAATATTATAAAGGAAATTTACAGATTACAACTATAAAATGAGTAATAAAATCAAATGAGGAGGAGCATTTTTTAAAGAAAAAATAAAATTCAATAAAAACAAAAGAGCTACAACAATCAAAAAGTAAAAGAGCTAATTTTATAAAATACGGAAAGTACTGAAATGACTGAGAAAACAGGCTTTTGTCTGGTATTAAAAGTTAATTAAGAGTGCAGTCCTCTTATTAAAGTACAGATCAGCAGACCTCTGCAGAACATTTTGTAATTGTGATACTGCTATTGAAAAGGACATTTTACTCTTAGAGATTGTGTCTCCTTTGCTTGGGGCAACCAAAAAACAAAAACCTCTGGCAATTATCTTAGCATGTTGTTGTTCATTCGTTCAGTCGTCTCCGACTCTTCGTGACCTCATGGACCAGCCCACGCCAGAGCTCCCTGTCGGCCGTCACCACCCCCAGCTCCTTCAAGGTCAGTCCAGTCATTTCAAGGATGCCATCCATCCATCTTGCCCTTGGTCGGCCCCTCTTCCTTTTGCCTTCCACTTTCCCCAGCATAATTGTCTTCTCTAGGCTTTGCTGTCTCCTCATGTGGCCAAAGTACTTCAACTTTGTCTCTAGTATCCTTCCCTCCAGTGAGCAGTCGGGCTTTATTTCCTGGAGGATGGACTGGTTGGATCTTCTCGCAGTCCAAGGCACTCTCAGAACTTTCCTCCAACACCACAGCTCAAAAGCATCTCTCTTCCTTCGCTCAGCCTTCCCTAAGGTCCAGCTCTCACATCCGTAGGTGACTACAGGGAAGACCATGGCTTTGACTATGCAATGGATCTTTGTTGCCAGTGTGATGTCTCTACCCTTTACTATTTTATCGAGATTGGACATTGCTCTCCTCCCAAGAAGTAAACGTCTTCTGATTTCTGGCACAGTCTGCATCTGCAGTAATCTTTGTGCCTAGAAATACAAAGTCTGTCCACCCCATGTTTTCTCCCTCTATTTCCCAGTTGTCAATCATTCTTGTTGCCAGAATCTTGGATTTTTTGATGTTTAGCTGCAACCCAGCTTCTGCACTTTCTTCTTTCACCTTGATTAGAAGGCTCCTCAGCTCCTCCTCGCTTTTGGCCATCAAAGTGGTGTCATCTGCATATCTAAGGTTGTTAATGTTTCATCCAGCAATTTTAACTCCAGCCTTGGATTCATCAAGCCCCGCATATCGCATGATGTGTTCTGAATATAAGTTGAACAGGTTGGGTGAGAGTATACAGCTCTGGTATACCTTTCCCAATCTTGAACCAGTCTGTTGTTCCGTGGTCAGTTCTTACTGTTGCTACTTGGTCCTTGTACAGATTCCTCAGGAGAGAGACAAGGTGTCTTGGTATGCCCATCCCACCAAGAACTTGCCACAATTTATTATGATCCACACAGTCAAAGGCTTTAGAATAGTCAATATCTTAGCATACACATTTGTAAAGGGCCAGTTCTGTTAAGTATCATGATCCTGAGGTATAAAGAACAGCAATGGATCAAAACCAGCATTTTCTCTTGAATCTGTGAATAATCTGGGAGCCAATAAAGATGAGGAAATACTGATATGATATGTTCATAATGCACAGTCCCATTCAGTAATTTCATAGATACATTCCAGATTACGACACTAGAGAAAAAATCCACTTAAAATCAGGTTTTTGTCTGCTGCAGAATTTGGGGGTTTGTAGTTTAGTAAGGCTGTTAAAGGCTCCTCCCTAAACTACAAATCCCAGAATTCTGCAGGAGGCAGAAATAGGATTTTAAGTGGATTTTTTCATTAGTGTGATGTTTCCAAGCCATTGGATAGCACATGGCAGTAATCCAAACAGGGAGATTCCAGGGCATGGATAACTGAAGCAAGTTAAGCATACTAACCTCAACAAGTGAAAGGCAGATATGATTATATAGAATGGTAAACTGGTACCTTAGGATAACATAGAGCAGATCTAGTTGAGCACTCTGGAAATCTATAGCTAAAGCATATCCAATAGATAGCCATTCAGCATCATCTTTAAAACTACCAAGAAGGTAAGTCTACTACTATCTTGGGCAGTTTCTTTTATTGCCAAACAGTTCTTACCATGAGAAAGTTCTGTCTGAGCTTGATAGCCTGTGTCTCTTATTTGGAAAGAACATTCATTATAATGACCCACAGCTCCATTTGGCGAGTAGGTGTACAACATGACACTACTGCTCCCCTCAACGCTTCTGTCACTGGAGTATATGCCCCCCTAATGGGAAATTAAGTTTCATTACCCTGTGTTTCTTTATGAGCCCCCTGCAAATAACTTGCTCCTATTTTTTTCTCATTCAAGTTTGTAACTTTTTATCCTGCACATGTGGCCTGCCCACTGTTACTGTGATTGTATTTATTGGAATGTTATTTTGTTATTGCATTCATATGGTTTTTTTTAATGTAATTTGGATGCTGTTGCTTGTTGCTTATGTTTTGGTTTTATTTTGCTTGGCCTCAAGTAAGCCGCCCCGAGTCCCCGTTGGGGAGATGGTGGTGGGGTATAAATAAAGATTATTATTATTATTATTATTATTATTATTATTATTATTATTTACATTTTTTTAAATCCTAATCAAAACATCCTGATATGAAGAAAGGAAACTTACATTACTGTGGATCTTAGTTGCAGCCAAAACATGCTCTAAATGTAAAAGATTTGGAAAGGCAGAAGTTGGCTCATGCATGTTTTCTAAGTCTTTTTTGTATTTTACCTGCAAGAAGAATCTTGAATTAATGAAAAAAATATAGAAGTCAGCAGAGATTTTTAAAAATTATGCTTGTATTGCAGAAAAACAAGCTTTGTATTTTCGCATTTGCTTAATATCTACAGTGGCCATTAGATGGCACTCATTTACTACAGTGTGACAAAAGAGAGTCTTAAAACATTTTATTCTAGGAAAGGGTTTAATCCTTTGAAATAGATTAGACCTTTCCAATTAAAGGCTAAGCAAAAGCTAATGGGAAAATAAAATGCACACTGATCAACTCTAATAATATATATCCTGTATGGTCTACGGAAGTGCCAAAACCAATCCTACTTACATTGCTTGCCAAGGCTGATGCAAGTTGTGCTTGCTTGAAAGAAGCACTTTCAAGAGGATTGAAGGAGTACTTTTTCATATCCTTAATATATTGCTCTTTGTATTTAACCTAAGAAACAAACATATAAGATACAGAAGAGAGGGATCATGGCTTTTCTGCAGAGAATATCATTGGTGCTTTCAGTTCATAGGTTAACCCAAAATATTAGTTTTGTAATTACAGTCCAAATCAATAAACACAGAGGGGATGATGTAGGATATAAGCCGAGACCCAAAGGACGCAGGCAAGTTCCTGAGGCATTTTTATCTGGCCTTTCCTAAACTGAAGGCCAGCTTGATCCAAACTACATGCTACAAACTAGATTCAACCTAAATGGAGCAGCAACAAAAAAAGATAAATAAGATCTTGCATTCTTTTCCCAGTAATATCTAATTATAAAGAACCTGTGATATGGTCTCAATGCATTGTGAGCATCTCTGTTTCTACAAATAGTAGCAGTAAAGTGCAATAGAGGTTCCTCCACTTTGCTGAAGTGCAAAGACAGCATATCAAGGGCTCTGTAGCAGTAGTCTTTACCAAAAGGAAGGGATGAATATGGTTCGAGATTGCTGTTAGGATTGGAAGTTAATATTCTAATGTTAGCTTCCCATTTTTATTTATGGGGGAAAGGAAATGAATAACAAGAACACTTGATGGCAGCAAACACTCAGACTCAAACTAAAAACAGGACAAGAGAGCTTTAAAAGCTGTGTTTTCAAAATATGCTTCACATTATTCACACAGCAGAACCAGAAATGAAAGGAATAAAAAAACCAACTTGGGGAAAAAATTGTATAGGAAGATATTCATTAGCTGCATGCATTTTTCTTTCTTATTATCCAAAAGTGAAAATTCTAAGAATTCTTTAAGATACTTATTGTAAAATTGGGAGAATATCCACACTGCACCATTACAACAGTTTTGATACCACTTTAAGTGCCAAGTGCCAAGTTTCCATCCCATATCAAGGCTCTTGATTCTTCTAAATTAGGGAAGTTCTTTTAATTTTCTCATTCATTCCCCTGAATTATGTGTTAGATAACAGTTCTCTGGCAGAAAAGACTTAACTCTCTGCCCCAGAGTGTGGTGAAGACTCCTTCTTTGGAGCCTTTTAAGCAGAGGCTGGATGGCCATCTGTCAGAGGTGCTTTGAATGTGATTTTCCTGCTTCTTGGCAGGGGTTGGACTGGATGGCCCATGAAGTCTCTTCCAACTCTATGATTTTATGATTCTATAATTCTAATACATCTCAAAACCAGAAATCTCTGAATACTATTGGGTAGAGCTAAAAGGACAGGTGGCTCTCTGTACTCATAGATTCCACTATCCAAGTATTCAAAAACAAAATTTCAAAAAGCAAGCCTTGATTTTACCATTTTATACAACAGCAGTGTTGTACTATTTTACAACACCACTGTATATATAATAGGACTTTAGCATCCATGAAAATTGCCAGAGAATCCAAAGGATAATATGCTGTGCTCTGAAATGTTATGCTTAACTAGAAATAATATTTGGCGCAAGTGTCAGTTGAGTATAAACTGAGAAAAGATAATAAATAATAGAGACTGTGATGTGATGTAATAAGGGCTCTATCTGTTTTTAATGGTTTTAAATCAATGTCTGAAAATAATGTTTCAACTGGACTTATGTTTCATGATGTTTTAACTTTTGTATCAGGTATTGCTTTAACTATTTTGTTTCAACTTATATAGTAAGCTACTTTGAGTCCTGTTTGGGACAAAGGAGAATATACATCAAATAAAGAAATAAATAACAGACTGTAGCATGAAGGCCAGATTTAACAACCCAAGCAAATTATTTGCAAGGATAGTGACAGTGAAACAGTACGTAGCTTATTCATGTGCCTAAAGATCTATCACAATGGCAATAAAGATGTGCTTTGGCACAATACTGCAAGGGATCTTTGAATATGAACCTTTCAGTTCAGTTATTTGGGCACTTAATGTCTTTGGTTTAATGTGTTGGAGGAGCTGCATTTTCTAAACTGATATGACAATGCAGAATTACCTTCACACATAATCCAAACTGTAATAATTATCCCCTGAACAATTAATTGCACCCTGATTGAGTGTAAGATGTAAATTAGTATTTTAAAGGATTATTAACAAAGGGCAAATTGTTACTATGTTAATGGGATTATTCAAGCAAAACCTTATTACTCCGGATCTAAAGGGAAAAAGAAAAACATAACCTCAAAGCATTCAGCTACCATGTATGATTAAAGTAAACGATACTTTAATTACATGACTTAACTTACAGGTATCATAAAATGGGTCCTCACTCTTTTCCGCATAACCTAATTAACTTTAAAAATGATTAACAGATGTACCATGACTATATTATTTTCTATCCCAATCAGGGTCAAATAACTTGTTATTGGGGAGACAAATGGCCATGGAGGCTGGAAGACTGTTGTTCCATTCTCTGACATATAACACATCCACACATTCACAAATCAGCTGACCATTCTTGGTTATAAGATAGTACTTTCAAAAGACTAGCTGTGAAGTAAAAAAAAATCAGACCATACACAACAGCCCTATCACTTAGAATATTCTGTTTACAATATCAAAATGTCTTAATCCTATTGCCTTCTATGTGTGAAATCTAAAATCACTTGCAGATTATAGTTATTGATTTCTCAGCATTTATCATGCAGCTATTCTAAACAGTATGGAAACAAAATCCCCAATTTTTAGGCAATCACCTTGACTAGCAGAAACACTATTACACTCCTTGGTATAAAATATCTTCATTGATTCATGATCTAATCTGTTGAAATCTTACTTGACTTAAATATTTGGAAACCTCTTGAGCATGGTCGAAGTCTGGTCTTCCAAGTACCATTGGCTCTTTACTCATTTCTTTTCTTCCTTTTGTATATTCAGCCTTTAAGAAACGAAATCAAAATACATGAACATTGACCATAATTTTCTTTGATGTCCCCTCACCCCACTTTCAATATTGCCAAGGGAAACATAAGCCTCCAAAGCAACAGTAGAGCAAGTTTCATTTAGTGACCTCTGTTGACACCACTTTGGGTAGCACGCTAATCAGCAATTCTCAAGCTTCTCCTCATTAGACAGTAATACCATTTATTTTATTTCAGTAACAATATATTGCATTTTTAAATATATATATATGGTAGTATTGAAGCTAAGTATGAGAGTAGCTGATTTGTAGCTACCTTCAAGGGCGAATAGTTTTAAGCGTTTCAATTTAAAATTGAACTGAAAAATACAAATGGTGGCTTTTTCCATATAACAGGTCAGGTTCCATACTAAATTACAGAAATGCAATCCTACTGAGGTCAGTAAAGACATAGTACAAGTCTGTATAGCAGGTGTGGGTGGAGAAGCTGTATGAAATTCTATAGTAGAGAGGACCCGTCAACAGGTGCGCAGGTCATGGAAGCATGAATAGAAGAAGGAAAGGGGAGAGGCCGATAAGCAGAAAGATATCTTAAGTGCTAGAACTGTAATCAAGAGAAACCCAACTATCCTTCTCAAACCTTTTACCACTTTAGAAATCAAACCTAGATGAATAGGTACATATTTCCCCACAACATGTCTCTAGGTATGTGACAATACTACTTTCATTATAAATATATTTATTAGCATTATTATTTATTGAGAGGCTGCCTAGTAAATCATAGTATGCAGGAAAACTTCCAGTCTCATTTTTATTCAAGCTCCTTGTGTGTGAAGGAAAGGAAAGGAACCTGGAAGTCCAAGGCTTATGTGTTCTTATAATGACGAGTCACAGTTTACTACTGTTTTTGGGCTGGACCAAGCTATCTTTTTAGCCTTAATTGCTCAACTGTTACTATCTGCTTCTTTTTAATACTTTTACACTAGGTAAAGGGCACTTTCTTCCAAGTGTAAGAGCAGAAAAACAATGCTAAGCAAGAAAGGTAATCCCTGGATTGCTTCTGAAAAGCCGGTTCGGTTGCAAGCAAATGGCAGTTTGGGATCAATGGGTAGGTACCCGAGCAGCATCTAGTAACCTGGCAAGAGTGTTTTGGGTTATGAGAACACAGACCTTGGGCTTGCAGTTGTTTAGCCATGGCAACAAAATGAATCTTCTCAAAATAAGGTGCTGAAATTAGACAGTTTGAGATGGGCAATGTTCTCTCCCTCTCTTTGTCTCTATGGGGTGGAGACATTTTATGTAAACTAACTATAGCTAAGTTCTAGTGCTGAAAGCAGTTTAGCATTGTTTTTGTTTTTAATGCTCTTCTCCTTAAATCCTGCCTTTTACATCTTAAAGCATTTCCTTTCCCCAAATTCCTTTCTGTTTGGCACTTGGAATTCCTATTGGGGAAAAGAAGCAAATTTCACAGACTGGGAGCATTGTTCAGCCCTCAATAACTGACTTGTATGCATTCTCAGAGTGAGTGAATAAGTGACAAAAAGGACAGGAAACCATCAGAGATACAGGCTGAAATCCTAGCGACATATGTGTGTATGTCTTGTTCTGGAGATCCAAAATTTTACCCTCCCCATGCTAATACTGCATCCCTTAAATTGCATGGGGAGGGAGTGGACGAGGGACAGAAGAAGGTGACTGAGAAGTGGGGACTGTTTCATCTGCAGTTCCCTAGAAAAAGTAAAGAGAAACAACAACCACATTTCTCTCCCCTTTCTCTAGAGAACTTCAGTCCCTACCACTTGGTTTCCACCTCTCTTCCTTGTGCATTTAATAACTTGAAGCCTTCTTGATGGGGCAGCATAGAGTTGCATTTCTGGAGCATCACACCCGACACATCTGGATGCAGGATCACTGACATTTTCTTACATACCAATTGGAAAATGAGTCAGAAGGTATATGATTTCTGTTAACACAACTTAAATTAAATGGGGAAATTATTAAGAGTCCATAACAATTATTAAGTGGGCTCTTCCAAATTGACCTTTATGAATTGCATCAGCAAAATATAGTCTAGAGTAGGACATTCCAATTGCCTAAAAAAACTATCATATAAATGGTACTGTCCATTCCTGAAAATACATTATGCTACTAGTGTGGCGGAGTGGCATGCTGACACAAACATTTCGAACAGGAGATATGATTACTGAAAATTGTACACTTTGTGGAACAGAAATTGTCTTAATATAACTCTAAGATTTCCATTATTACTACAAATACTCTGGCATCAACAAAAAAAAAATAAAATAAAATCTAGAACTGGTCTTTAATTGCAAAAGTAATTTAAGTTCATACATTGCTTATTATCTTTGTTAACTGAGTTGCCATCACGATATCAGGTCTCTTTGAAACTTCAGTGAATTTATGAGTATCCTGAAGATCTTTCTTATATGAAACCTATAAAACAAAAGACATGATTTACCTATAATTTAGCTATTTACACTCAAACATAATAAAATTTAAATACTAATGAAAGGCAGTCCTTCTTATTTACCATAACATATTAACCAGGATTAAGGTGAAATAAAACAATGCAAATCATATGGTTCTAGAAACAAAAGATTCAGTTCTTTTGCAATTACCAGCATTAAAATGTTACAATATTATTATGTCTATTATACAAAATATATTATGGAGAGTAGCTAATGTGTAAAATCCTTTACATGAACAGGATGTTCCATTGTTATAGTTTTCTCTTTTTAAATTGTTTTACCTAAAACAAAGCATTTTTCACAAAATGTATTGTTTTATATCTTGTCAATATGCTTTGACTGTGTTCCCCTACAGATAAACACAGCTAGATTTTAATGATTGGGGTAAAATATCCTATAACTAATGTTAATCAGAAAATAGAAATTGCTAGATTCCTATTATCAACTTTAGCCAGTGTGCCAGTACTGTTCTTTCTTCAGCAGATACGACATAACAAAGGCACTTCCACTCTTCAGTTAGATTACTGTCACATATTTTACATACAGGGGTTTTTGAAAAATTATTTGATAGTACAATTGGCTAAATATAAGAACACCAGATTGTTGAAAGAGGCAGGCCACAAAGAACAGATTCTCTATTTTGAAAGAATTAGTTTCAAGATGGTTTCCAGGTACAATTCAGAATAGCAGCAAAGTCTTATAAAGTCCTTAATGGTGAGTGCCCAGGATAATTGACAGGCACCTTTTTGCCACCTGACCTTTAACCATATTTTGAACATCAATCCAGGACCCATCCATTATGTATGTGGACAGAAGATTTCTTTAGAACTGAACTTTCACTAATGGCACCAATATTCCAACCCATCTGGAAATTCACTGCACTCGTTCTGATAATTTCTGGGTCAGGCCCAGAAACTGAATTTTCTAGACTTGACTTGGGTTGCTGAAAACGTAATGCCACTTAGTACCACTAACTGCCATGGCTCAATGCTATAGAATCCTAGGATTTAGAGCTTGGTGTGGCCCCAGCCTTTTAAAACTAAATATCTCAGGATTCCACAGCACTGAGCCATAGTAGTTAATGTGTTATCAAAAGGCATTAATTCTACAGTGCAGATGCAACTTCATCTTTTTTCTAGCTTTCCTATTTTTTTCAGCTATCATCTTTTTTCTAGCATTTAATTTTTCTATCATTTTGGAAAGAGACACATGTGTGTGTACATGCGAAAAATATAAAATATTTAACTTTCAACTGACGTAAATGGTATTGTTGGTTTTAAGACAAATTAGATCATGGCAGCAAGTCATTTGTATCTCCTGGGGTTTAGTTCCAGGAACCTGCCCACCATGGATACCAAAATATATGGATGCTGAAGTCCCATTATAAGCCGTATTGTAGTAAAATGGTGTTCTCTATATAAAACTGCAAAATTAAGGTTAACGTTTTGGGGTTGGGTGAATAATTGAATCTATAGATATGTAATTCATTGATATTAAGGACTATAATAGTTCCCCCATTTTCCCTCTATCTAATCTTACTAGCCTTACTGGACAGATGAACTCAGAAGCTGACTCTAAAAGACTCCTATTTGCCACCATGTCCAATGCTGTCAATAAATGTAACAATTCTTAACATGCTATTTCATACATACATGAGACTCTTGGGAGAGTTAGGTCCATTCCACACAGCCCTATATCCCAGAATATCAAGGCAGAAAATCCCATATTATCTGAGTGTGGACTCAGATAACCCAGTTCAAAGCGGATATCGTGAGATTTTCTACCTTGCTATTCTGGGTTATATGGCTGTGTGGAAGGGCACTTGGTTCCATGTGTGGTTGTACACCATTTACATATAACTTTCCATCTAAATGATGCACACATTTTAAACAGCATCCAAGGAAGCTAAACCAGTGGCAGATGCTGATAAATGAGTGTTGAGGTGAACAAATGGAAACTTAACTCAGATAGAAAATTTCCTGGCTAATAGAAAGCAAGACCAGGGGCCCTTCCACACAGCCCTATATCCCAGAATATAACGGAAGAAAACCCCGCAATATCTACTTTGAACTGGGTTATCTGAATCCAAACACGGATAATGTGGGATTTTCTGCCTTGATATTCTGGGGTATAGGGTTGTGTAGAAGGGCCCCAAGACACAGGGGTTCAACTTGAGTTACATTTCCCTTGGAGACTCAGGTTCATTTTCAGTTATTTCTGGGTTCAGAGCTTGTTTTGGAGGGCTAAATCTTAGCAGTGATCTAGAGTGGATGCATCACTGAGCATCCACTCTAGCTTGGTACTGCAAACCAGTAAAAATAATTGTCTAGAATAGAATCAAAAGTATGCATGATCTCAGAGTTTGGAGCATTGCATAGGCTTAGCTAATTATATGCTGTTCATCCTAATGACTACATGACGTGAAGTGACTACCATAAAAGCATCAGGAAGAGGTTTTTGAAAGGGACACATTATCCACATAAATTGCAGATGGAAGTCCAATATACATAGTAAAACAGCCACTAAGACAGAAGCTGTCCATTCAGAGATGGATGAAAATACAGAGAATGTTTCAGTGAAAGCTCTAACAACTTTGCCTCTTATTTTTCTCAAGTGGCAGCTATATAGTGAATGAAATAAGGAAGTGTGGTTCCTTTCACAGCAGGAAAAACAGACGGGTTGGAGAGCAAGCAACAGACAGGAAAACTCCGGCAATATATACTTTAGAATTTAGATGTTGTTATGCCTTGCTTGAACAATGTTATGTAACTGAACAGAGAGCCATTTTCCAAGCTGCGATATTTAGGTCTGAGACATTACAAGGAACTGCTATCTGCAAATGCTTGAGCCCATTATGAAAGCAACATTAAACTGGCTGCAATGTATTTGCACATTGTGTAGAGGAAGGTGTCAGGGAAGCGGACATGTCAATGTTGCTAAGGCAACCAGGCCAATGCTCCTTGTTATGCAACACTGTGCCATGGCATTTTCATTGCTTGATGTCACTTGAGTCACAGCATGATTGAAAGACAGGGAATATCAGTCCAGAAGAATTCTGTATCTCCCAACACTTAACACCTATTCACCATTATGGTAATTTTGCTTAATTTCCCCTCTGTGGGGTAAGCTACCTAGTTTAGTGATCTTGTCACAATGTGATCCCTGATTGGCTGCTATCATTTGAAAAGACAGAGGTGAAAAACAGTAGCAGAAACAAACATCAGGGGAACAATGGCTTTATGGTTGTGAGCAACCACAAAGAAAGGTAGAAGTAAAGATTTCCCCCAGTGCAAGTTCCATATTGTCATTATCTTTACATTGAAAATGTTGTGTTATTATTCAACAAAGCTGATTCTTCCCTAATTCCTAGAAGATATTATTTAGTACATCTACATTTTAAAATTAATATGGTTTGACACCACTTTAACTGCCATGTCTCAATTATATGGAATCATGGGACATGATTTTACAAAGCTTTCTCTGGTGTCTTGCAAGACTACAGATCCCACTATTTCATAGCATTGTGTCATGGTAGTTAAAGTGGTGCTAAACTGCATTAAGTATACAGTACAAATGCACTATTAGAAAAAGTTATTTTGGGAAACTACAACTCCCCAAAGCCTCTGGATATTTATTTATTTATTTATTTACAGTATTTATATTCCACCCTTCTCACCCCCACAGGGGACTCAGAGCGGATTACAATGTACATATACATGGTAAACATTCAATGCCATAGACACACAACCCATATAGACAAACAGTCAGAGTCTATTTAAAATTCCAACTTTTTCTGGCCACCAGGGGAGCTGTTGCTTCACTGTCCATCTGTGACACTGATAAAGTACTTCCTCGTTCCCTGCATAGTCACTGATCTTTATGGCCTCGTAAATTAGTTAAATTAGCCTCCCCACAAAGTGGTACCTAAATTTCCTACTTGACAGATACAACTGTCTTTCAGACTACTAAGGTCGACAACAAGCTACACAAATTTGGTCAGAAGCTCACTCCGACCCGGGCTGGCTTCGAACTCATGACCTTTCGGTCAGTAGTGATCTTAATGCAGCTGACACCCAGCTAGCTGCGCCATAGTCCTGCAGCTAGCTGGAGGATACCTCTCGATACTTGGGATATCGAGAGGTATCCTGGAAATTGTAACCATTCTGAAACCATGCTAGCTGGTGTCATGGAAGTTTTACTTCACAAAAGCAACTTTTCTCCAGGTCTTATCTGAAAATATACTAAAACTGGTGCCTTTTACATAGATTGATGAAGGTTATTGCTTCACTGCTGAGGAGCATGACTTCTGTATCTAAAAAACAGGTCCCCACACATATAAGCACTTTGGAGTTTTCTTTATAGGATCTCTGGTTACCTACATAGGTGAAAGGATATGAATTGCCATACTCTGGGATTATTTTGCTGCTACTGATAAAAAGCTCATCAGGAGTTCTGTTCAAGACAGTGAAAAGCCAGACGTGCAAATATATTTTGTGAAGACATGCACCTTCATCTGGTTTCTAATCATCTTCATTTTTCAAATTTACTCAGAATTATGGCTGTTCATAAAAAAGCATTTTATATTCACATCATTTCCGTAAAATAGTATTGAGTTTAAATCCCTTAACTATAATTCCTTCAAAACACTTTTAAATCATCATTTCATACTCATTTACGAACTTGAATAATGACACAAGAGACATTTTCTTAGAAATTCAGCAATGAAACTTCATTTTGCATTATTCCATAACAGAGGAAAATACTCACATTACTTTGGTTTCTGCTAACTTCCATGGCATGCTTAACATCTGGAGGCTCCTTCATTTGTGCATAGTTTGATGTTCCCTTTTCAGAAATGTGTTTCTTATTGTAGTGAACCTTAAAATGATACATTTTGTATTATCTATTTTGAAGCATATGTAGATACATGACAGAACAAGGTTTCTTTTATTATAATTCAGTGGCTGGGGACTGGGAGTAGAAGTTCAAAAAGGTCACTTTAACTTTTTAAAGGTCTAATTCATATAAATAATTTCATATTTGGCTAAAGTCACTGTGAAGAGCTCTATGGATGAGTTTGTGACTGCAAACAGAACCGGCAATATTGCTCTAATAAAAGCTCATTCCTGTGCATGAATGCATGCACATCTGAATTTTTTTAATGTTGTGGTTAGGGTTCACATGTGTGTTTATCACACCAGTTAATTGTTTTCGGCTTTCCTATAAACCAGTACTCCCATACTCCCAAAGATAGCTGAATTGTGATACTATGTATCACACTCTTAACACACTTGTATTTTAATAGCACATTTTTCAATTCCACTATTTTCTTTTCCTTACTATAATTTCCTTGATACTGTCCATGCCATTTGCTCAACCTCCTGCATCATGATTAGTTGCCCTTCATATTTTTTTTTGAAATCACACTATGATGTCATAAAATTATTACATGGCACCATGGCACAATTACATTATTGACCTTTTTAAAGTTAAAATTATTAGTAATTAAAAACAATCTTTAGAAGTAGCACTGTGGCACATGGTACCACAGAAAAGTAAGGGAAATGTTTAGCAAATACTAATATGCATTACAAGTGTCTTAATCATGACTTCCAAAGGGTCACACTACAACATCAAATGATTTATATTAAGACACACATATATGGGTTTCAAGATCATAGAGAAAATAGACCCGAAATCACAGCTATTATTCTGGGAAGTCTTGCCCTCATTAATCATGCACCAGACATTGTCTGAGGCTGGAGATTTCCTTGAGAAAGGAACAACCAGATCACATCCATCACATGCCCACTCTTCAGTCTTGCAATGAGGCGGGACAACTGACCGATTATTTTTAGCACTAAAAAAATCTAATTCCCAACTACTCTATAGGAAAACCATACCAGGAGACAGAATTAATCCACAACCATAATGGTATGAGAGGGCTGCATGAAAAGCACCATGGACTCAAAACTAAATGTAAGCAGATTCAGCCAGACTCATCAAGCCAATCATGTCCAAATAGTTCTAATCAAACCTACACAACCTGAGACCCTTGGGATGTTTGGGACACCAATTTCCAGAAGCCCTAGTCAGCTTTTCCAATAGTCAGGAATTCTGGGAGATGAAGTCCAAAACACCTGGAGGCCCCAGGTTGTGTACGCCCGGTTTAAATGGATCAGTGAAAAACAGTATGTAAAGACAAAATCATGGAAATCAGATCTGGAGGCCATCAAATTCCAGGTAGGCCTACTGAAATAAATAGATCTTAATCTGTCATGGTACATAGATTACATTGATTTCATTGTTTCTGCTTTAAATATCAGTAAATAGAGACATTCTTAAAATTAATGCATATTTTAATACATATTCAAAAAAGTAGAATGTGCTTTTTGTAAAAACACACAGATGAATTACAATGCTATTAACACAATTCTTTCTTAAGAACTGAAGACTCCCACCATTCATCATCTTTGTAAGCAAATAGAAATATTGCTTTAAGCACATTTGCCAAGTGCTTGAAGAAATAGAGTTTCAGATCAAGAAGAAAACCAAACAGCCCACTGACATACTATAGTTTTGTATTTTTCTTGGGTCATTTTTTTTCCTTGATAAGGAACAACCGCTGGAATTTTCTGTCAAAGTGATGGAATATATACAAAATAAATACTTTGCCATGTTGTTCCTTCATTTCTTTCAAAGGCATGCCATTCCTTATGATTTTTTAAGAATGCCTGAAGGAAAACAAAGAACCTTGAAACCTATTACCCATACTTTTTAACCAGACACAAGATTTCACCCTAATCTACAAATAATCTGTGCATATAAAAACCGACACATTGGTGGCATTTGGGACAAAAATTGCTGTTTTTGCAATGGAGAGTGTGGTGAGGAGTATAGCCACTGAATGCCTCCTGAGGGGTCACTGTGCCCCCCCCCAAGAATATCGCAGTTGCCTCCTCTGCTTTCTTTCTCCAGATGAATGTTTTGTCTGAAGACCTTGTCTGAAAGTACATATCTCTCCAAAGCTAAACCATATGCTACTAAACTCGACAAAAAATCTTCTGGCTGTCTTCTCCATCATCTTTGCCCTTTTCCTCCACAACTTCATTAGCTTGTAAACAAGAAAGAGCTGTCTTCTTTGTTTGTTTTGACACTGATGGGGCTTTGAAACCAGCACTACAACACTAGACAGATTGGATTACCTGCCTTAGCTAGTCCTTTTAAGTGTTGTAAAATACAGTACAACAAATAGTTAACTAGCTATTATTGTTGCCAGGTAGGAGAAGTGGGGCATTTTTATTTCCAGCTTCAGGAGTCAAAATAATATCATTGGCTTCAGATATCCAGTGTTTATTAAGATGCCATTTGCTGCTTTGCCTCAGGCAGCAAAATATGGTGGTGCTTTACAAATAAGAGACAGCAGCAAATAATCTAAAGACTTCTAGTTCTTCTTTGCTAGCTGGCTCTTCCATCATCTTTTAGGAACATTATGGTCATGTTCTTTTGAATGATTCTGACTTATGGTGAGCCTGCAATCATGGGGGTTCCTTGGCGAAATTTGTTCAGCGGGTGATTGCCTTTGCTTTCTTCTGAAGCTGGGAAAGTGTGACTTGGCCAAGGTCATTCATGGCAAAGACTTAAACCCTGGTTTCCAAAGTCATAATTCTGAGAGTGCCCTGGACCGCGAGAAGATCCAACCATTTCATACTGCAGGAAATAAAGCCTGACTGATCACTGGAGGGAAGGACATTAGAGGCAAAGATGAAATACTTTGGCCGTATCATGAAAGGAAAGGAAAGCTTAGAGAAGACAATGATGCTGGGGAAAATAGAAGGAAAAAGGAAGAGGGGCTGACCAAGGGCAAGATGGATGGATGGGATCCTTGAAGTGACTGGCTTGACTTTGAAGGAGCTGTGGGTGGCGACAGACAACAGGGAGACCTGGCATGGGCTGGTCCATGAGGTCATGAAGAGTCGGAAGCAACTGAACAAATAAACCACAACGATTCCAATGCTGAAACCATTACATCATGCTGGCTCTGTAGGAGTATTATTATCATAAATAGTAATGAGGGACTCAGTTCATTCTTGGACCTTGTTGACTAGAAATGGTCTTATCCAATTGTGCACCCCTCCCCTTCCTCACTGTTAACTCTTCACTATTTATACTTGCTCCATTAATTGAGTTCTCATAATCTACTTTTATTTTAGAAAAACAAAAGCACATTCAGTATTGAGTGATACAGCTTTCTTTAAATCTTCCATAATCTTCCATAATGTTATTGTAAACCGTAGAGCCATCATAAATACATAGAAGCAGAGAAGCAGGGCAAGGAAAACAAAGGAAGAAAAATATAAATATTGCCTTTTTCTTCCTTGCAGCATATGGCAAACCTGTCTGTATATGAATATTGGGCTTTTAGAAGACATGGGTCTAGATGAGGGTGGTTTGGGAAGGTACAAACCTCAGCTCTGTTGTAAAACACTATTTCATTTTCCTGCAGGCATAATGTTTGGAAAACCCAGTGAATCGAAATGTTTCCACTTTCCCAGCTTTTGCAGCAAGAATGCAATGATTTATGCCACAAATGGGAAATAAATATGTCTGCAGGTTTTACATTGTATGGTACATCTAAGATATATTATGTATGTCCTTTTAAAGAAGACGTGTTTCAGCGTAAGTGTTTAACAGGGTGCAGCTTACTGTTTAATTCTTTCAGAATAACTTTTACAAAAAGAAAATTCACATCAATAAGACAGGGTAGCGCCAATTTACTTCATATTACTGAGGTCAGTTCTCTGTTGCATCTGCTTTGTATTATTACTGAATGTGGGGGGAATTTTTTTTTAAAAAAAATCCTACACACAAAATCCTATTTTTAATAAGGCCAAACGTAAAATGCATTAAGGAACAAATAACATAGCTTACTTACTTATAAAACAAACTAAATACGCTATTTAAAATATTGTGCAATTTTTGCTGTTTAATGCCTTAAAGTTGTTTCTGACCTAAGGTGAACATATCACAAGCTTTCTTGGTAATATTTGTTCAGAAGGACTTTGCGTTTGTGTTCCTATGAGGCCTAGAGGGTGTGACTTGATTATTCAATAGGTTTCTTATGGATAAGAAAAGTTTCAAACATCTCCCAGATTGTATGAGCGTTTAACTTTTTGTAACTCATATTCTTGGGGTACTGTATTGTATAATGATGACGATAATAATAATAATAATAATAATAATAATAATAATAATAATAATAATAACAACAACAACAACACATAATAATAATAATAAATACATCACACAGTCCTAGACACTGTTTGACTTGTGATTTTGTGATACGGAATGTGATACGGAATCCAGCATCCCCACCAGCTGTGATTGTGATGGTGGTGGGAGCAAGCGGAGGGCCTTCCCGGTGGATCTTAGAGCCCGCACCAGTTCATAGGGGGAGATGCAGTCCTAAAGATAGGCAGGACCCAAACCATTTTAGGCTTTATAGGTCATAACTTGCACTTTGAATTGGGACTGGAAACTTATTGGCAGCCAGATAACTTATATTAGAGCCAGAAGCACGATTCTCTCAATCTTGCTTACTAGAGTATTCTTAATTTATTTCCTCAAGAAGACAGGAAGGAGCACATTATCCAACAAGACTGCCTACCTCACCACACTAACATAGGATTGCCCTCTGCCCATCTATTTCAGGTTACAATTTCTGGGATCTGCTATCTTCAGCTGCTTACTAAATGCATAAATCATACCAATCCAAATATATTTTTCTGGGGATGTTCTCAGAACTCTCAGTGACAATGTTGGAAAATATTCTTTTTGGTTGTGGGCTTTATAGCTACTTTCTCTAAAACAAATGATTACAGACCATGAATATGCTCTTCCAATGTAGCATAAAGAAGGTTTTGGCATATTAAGGGGGAGGAAAGCCCAACACTTTGAAGGAAGCAGTAGCAAGACTATTTCTGTAGAGACAGAAAGAGATCACTGAACAAAAATCATTTGTATAACTTTTCAATTCTAATGCAAGATGTATTAATGTGTGTGGTGGCAATCCAGATTCAGAGATACTTTTAGAATGATACTGATAATTATCTTGATCCACTTTGATATAGCTGCACCCAGGCTAACAGGTTGTACCATAGGACAGTAAGGGGAGTGCAATCTTATTGATTATGCTCACTCTATCAGCAGCTTTCAGTATCATTGATAACAGTGTCATTCTGCTAAGTCTGGGAACCAAATACGGTGCTTTTATTCCTACTGGATCAGAAGATCCCTGAAGGTATGCTATGAAACCTTTGTGGTACCCAAGTGTATTAGGCATAAAGGATGCCATTACATCTGTCTTGAATCCTATGCTATTTTACAATTTTCATGAAACTGTAGTTACAGATAGTTTGAGATTACTTGGCATCTCCAAGTAGGGCCGAAATCCAATAGAGTCACTGCCAATTAGCTTCAACAGTAATGAGCAAAATGAATCAATGGTCTGATTTGGTATAAGGCAGAGTTCTTTTCTGGTGAGCTGGACACAGCAGGAGATGGATTCATAAATGGAGCCTCTATTAGTGTTATGAGCTAAACTAAAGGAAGTTCACAACCTCTAGCCTTAAATTAGTTCCCCTCAGGTCTAATGCAGACACTCTCTTATTTGTGACTGAAGCAAGACACAGAATCACTATTTCCATCCATGAAGCAACTGATATGGACTGGCTGGTAAAAGCCTCCCTCTCGATGTTTCAGCCACCATTGCTCTAGCCCAGGGGTCCTCAAACTTTTTAAACAGACGGCCAGGTCACAGTCTCTCAAACTTTTGGAGGGCCGGATTATAATTTGAAAAAAACATGAATGAATTCCTATGCACACTGTACATATCTTATTTGTAGTGCAAAAACACTTTAAAACAATACAATAATTAAAACGAAGAACAATTTTAACAAATATAAACTTATTAGTATTTCAATGGGAAGTGTTGGCCTGCTTTTGGCTGATGAGATAGGATTGTTGTTGTTGTGTGCTCTCAAGTCATTTCAGACTTAGGTTGACTCTGAGCGAGGGCCGCGTAAATTACATTGGAGGGCCGTATCCGGGCCCCGGACCTTAGTGTGAAGTCCCCTGCTCTAGCCTCTGAGGGACAGAAGAGCAATCAGCATTTGCTAGACGTAATCCCCTCCTGCATTCCCATTTCCTTTTCCATATATGTCATGTGGTATTTAGATTGTAAACCTGAGAGCAGGGGACTGTCAGATTAATGATTTGTAAGCTGCCCTAGGAGACTTTTAGCTGAAGGAAGGAGGATAAATAAATAAATAAATAAATGCCTTCTTCTCACCTGAACTACAGAAGGCAGCTTTACATCCTAAATGGAATCCTAGTCATGAACATTGCTGCAATCAAAATATTTCTTCATGGGTCATGAAGAATCAAATACTAAAACTTTTATGAATACGAGCTGCTGGACCTCTTTATGGGAGCCAGAGAAGGTAATGACTGGTTACATTACAGCAAACCTAGTATTATATGTCAAGTGAGAAATAACAGGAGTGGAGAGAAAAACCCTAAAGAGACTAGCCCATGCGTTCATTTCAGCAGGAGGTGAATCAAGCTGTTTAAACACAAATATATAAAAATTACCTTGCTCTGAAGCTGCATGACCTCTTTTGCAAATACACTGTCAATGGTAGCTGGCATCTGCTGGTAAAGTGAATTAGAAAGTTCTTTCTTTGCGTTTGCTTTATATTTTGCCTAAAAGATAAAAAGAAGCAATGTAGCATTTCCTTCAACTTCATCACAACGACATTCAGGAGGCAAATTTCATGTTCTGTTTCTCAACAAGTGAGTATTAAAAGGAAGATTTTATCGAGCTCTAAAATTAGAACAAAGGCTTGTAGATCCATCTTTGCAATTCTGATTGAAAGGTTTTGTCCAAGGAATCAGTTGCCTTTATATCAGTGGTTCACAATCTGTGGTCTGTGGACCACCAGTGATCCGCAAGAACTAAAATATGGTCCACAGCTTCACCATTACTACACTGTTGCAACAAGAGTGATTGTTCTCGCAAACCCCTCTTATAGTGCCAAGGCTTATTGAATATGGATTTCTATGGGCGAGCAGATGGCGACTACCAGATGGTATATGTTTTGTATCAGAAACTAGAGCTCATGTGGTCCATCCAATGCAATTTTCTGAATCAGCACCACAAATAACCAAACCGAATCTAAAGTTGACCAAAAACTGATTCATAATCCTTTTGTTACTAATGTTGGAGAGCGGTTCCTGGTAAAGTGGTCCCTGCTCAAAAAAAAAGGTTGGGAGCCATTCCTTTATATAGTCTGAAAGAATGAGACTGAGATAATGTCCATATAAATGCACTATTGGAATGTAAAGATTAATAAACTGCTCACTTTCTTCCTTGCTAATTTCTAAGAACACCCCAGTCTCTACCACCTCAGCCAATCCTATTTCATTATAATTCCTTAATTCTTGTTGCTGTTGATAAGCAAACAGTAGTGAATAAGTGAGATACAGGGGAAACAGATGCAGGTAGTGAATGCTGCTGTGATTAAAAAATATCTGTAGAAATGGTTCTATTTAAGGTGTACCTTGGATTGACTGAGAGTTAGCAACCACTGCATTACCCTGAAATATTTTGAGAACTAAATATACATTTCAATGATTGTACAGTAGTCTTTTCATTTCATGTTGCTTCATGAAATAAGGTGTAGCTCTGGAAAATCACTACTGCGTCAATCACTCTGGGACTATAAATATTCCCCCCAAAATACTTTGCAACTTACCTCAGATAAAAAAGCAGAGAGATTTTTCACATGCATTAACTGAGGAGTGTCACGTACAAATGTGAACTTGTCTTTAGATTTTTCATATTCTTCTTTATAATGTACCTATAAAAAAGGTAGGGAAGAGAAACAGAATGGAAAGGGAAAACAGATCAGAAAGTAATTGTGAGTGTGTGTGTGTAACTGTAGGAGTGTAAGGGCAGTCACCAACTTGCAAACATCTGACTTACAAATGATTCATAGTTACAAACGGGGGTGAGACAACAGGAAGTGAGATAAATCTACCCCTAGGAAGGGAAGTTCAATCCTGGAAGACTTGTATTTATAAATGGGCCACCACAAAACACACAGGTCCACATTACCTCAAATACAGTTATCTTAAATAACCATCATTTCATGCCAGATATTCTGAGTGAAGATCATAAAGCCACAGTGAAGAAGGCCTTGCCTGATGTGCTTGCCTTGAGAAACCAGTTTCTCAAGGACCTCTGCCAAAGAATTTTGAAGTATTCAGAAGACCAAATATTATGACTGTGCCAATTAGATCAAAGAAGTAATGTAATATATTCCAACACAACAATTGGACAAAGATATAACAAGCTTGGCTCACTAAAACGAGCCTACTGGCACACAGATGCCTGGATTTCTCTTTGTTTCCTTTGGTATTTCTATTTATATTATTTTGTAACTACATTGTTTTTATATTCAGATCTACAATATGGAATTAAACTCCATCTTAAAAATTTGTATTTATAATATTCTGCACACAATACATAGCACTGCAATTGTAATGGAAATTATTTAAGAACAGCTGTGATCATAAACACCTACTGCTTTAGAGAATTTCCCAGTAATGTAGAGACATTTTAAGATGCACAGAGGACGAACTATGGAGCAGAATTGCCGGTTTCTGGTAGACAAAGCAGAATCCAGCAGAAATTTCACAACTGAATTTATGTTTACTGCCGCATTTGCAACAAAGACATTATCATCTAAAACCAAAGAGGTATGCTTGTTTTCCTCCAAGCTAATGTTTTATTTCTATGAAAATTTAACCAGCCCAATCATGCAACATTCACTATAGTAGTTTAAATAAAATAATTTTGCATCACGTTTCTTCAGATTTATATCATGCTTTTTCAAGGTCATGGGCAGTTATCTGCAATACTATGCAACTTTCAGATCTAGAACATTACTTTCTTCCTTCCCCCCTCCTCCTCTGAGTTTCCTTTTTACTTGAGGTATAATAGATGAGTTCCTAAGCACATTCAGTAACAGTATATCAATTGAACTGCTTCCCCTCCTCCTCCCACACCAAAAAAATCCAGTTCCATTTCAAATTCAGCTCAGTAGATTTTATTGGCAGCCTTTCAAGCAACATCCTGTACTTTGTGGCTTACATTTACCTCATTCAGAAAACGAGACGCTGAGCTTGAGTCAATGCTAGGAATGGGACAGAGAGATGCAGTGGAGGTAAAATGAGGACACTTAAACATTTTTGTTATCATCCTGATCCTCATGCTGGCAGACATCCAGCAGAGTTCCATTAAAGCAGCGAAAAAAAAGCTTTAGAACAATCAGTGTCCTTCAAGAAGAAGGCTCTTTATGGAAGGTGATGATTCCGCTTCATATTATCCATAATGGGCTTGACATGTTTCCAGTTGTCTGTATGTGATGAAAGCATCATCACCAATGAATAACGTGAAGCATGATCCCACTAAAGTTAAATACAGTTAAGTCCCACAGTGTTTTGAATGGGACAGAATGAACCATGACTAATGATGCTACTGAAATCAGTTCAACTTGAAAACATCTGTAAAATAAAGACCATCAGCATGTTATAGACAACATGAGACGGTTTAAGTGCTCAAGCTCCTTTTAATATAGTGTTTAATACATAATTTCAAGACAAATCAATATTATGATCTCCCTATTGCAGATGGTTGCTGTGTGGCAGAAAGATTATAGCACAACGGAAATAGTAGAATTGATATTTACTTAAATTTGAATATTGGCTTTTTTCAAATAACATTTCAAGCCAGCTGACAAAAGCAAACTAAAATATACAGTATCAGAAATTCTTTCTGTCTGTTCGCTTTTAAAATGTGTCCACTTAAGCGACAGGAAAAAATTAGCAATAAGGATAATCTATAATCAAATTTTAATTTCTGTGAAATCTACTAGAACAAGTATGGGCAAACTTTGGCCCTCCAGCTGTTTTAGACCTCAACTCCCACAATTCCTAACAGCCAGTTGGCTATTAGGAATTGTGGAAGCTGAAATCCAAAACACGTGGAGGGCTGAAGTTTGCCCATGCCTGTACTAGAAGATGCCCTGAAATGCATTTTGGGGAGAAAGGGGGTATTAGTCTAGATAGTAAGTACACAATTCTCCAAGAATCACATATAAGTGTACAAAGACTCGTCAGAGCAACAAAAAAAATGATTTTCTAAAGGGGCATCACATAGATCATATATCAAAATAAAAAGAGATCTCCTGTCTCAACACATCCCATGAAATGTAAGGCAAAAACTAAATTGCTCTCTATAATACCAGCTGTAACATAGCAATAAACTGAAAGTACGGTAAAAATCACATTAGTATGAACCCTAAGGACAACTTAAGCTGAATCTTTTTCCACATTAGTATCCTTGAATATTACATTCAAAGCTAATCTGTGAAAATGGGTGAGGCAGAGCACCACTAAATACTTAAATTCAGCCCTCATCAAGCTTCTTAGAGTCAGTTTCGAAAGAATTTGGGTATGCATCACCGTCTTTTAAATCCCATCCAAATATGTCAGTGTGCTCGGAATTAAGCTTCTACTGACAGATGAAAAGTGCTGAAAGCTTTGCCAAGTAAAAAAGAAAATATCTAAAAAGACACAAGACAGTCTTACAATGTAAATTTTAAATGACACTACCAACCTTTTCAAACGCATACATACATTTTGTGGAACGTATTTTTCATTTCTGTTTAATGGTGTTGGGTGTATGCTTGATGTAAGGTTTAAATATTAGTGTTACTACAAATAATTACCTGTAATAAGAAATTGAAGCATAATTGGAAGGCTTTACTCACATTGCTTATCATTTCAGTACATCTTTTAGCAAGTTCCATGTTTTTATCTTCAACAACCGGCTTAAGAAATACCTACAATAGAAAGAGAATGACATTATTAAAATGAATACAAGTCACGCAGTGCATTCTTTAACACTTTGAAAAATGTGTCAGAGCCACCCACCTTTCCATCATAATCTTCCTCCTCTTCCTCTTCTTCTTCATCACTTTCATTCCCTCTAGATTCCTGAAATGGTGCTCTCATTTTTTGTTCTGTTGGGAAAATGGTAAAACTTCAGTAAAATAAAATAGCATGCGTCCTGCTCAACCTATTGACTGTCTCTGCCACTGTTGTCCTGTGGCAAGTTTAACCTCCCTGTGGTTTCTTCCTTATTTAGGCAGCATTTGAAGGGTCTTATCTAAACAATGCAGCACTGAGTGGAGTGAAAGGCATCACAGATGCCCTTGCTATTGACCATTCTTTTAAAAAAGAACCGTTAATCATTTCTTGCAACCAAATTTAAACAACTATTTTTCCTTTGCCACAAAGACATAGCAAACAACAAATATTATAACACAGCAAAATCATCCAAAGTTGAAACACATCAAATCTGTAGTCCCATATAAAGTGTATTAAAAGAATGTATTAAAATGGTAATATAATAACAATACATTAAACTTGACCAAGAATTAATAATTCAGTGTCTAATAACAGAAGCTCAGGGTAAGATAATTGTTCTAACTCAGAATTTTATTTTCCATGCAAAGTCTAGGTTTTAACTGATTTAAACTTTATAATCAATAATAATAATATAAGAATAATAATAAAACTTTGTTTATATTCCGCTTTATCTCCCCAAAGGGACTCAGGGTGGATTCCAAACATAAAAGGCAAACATTCAGTGCCTGAATACAACAATACATCCATACTAACAAAAATTTATACAACCCAAAATATAAATACGAATTATAACTTAACAAACTAAAATTAAATAAAAAGCACAGCCTTTTATAACAGACGTAAGACAAAACATCAAACATCAAATGGAAACAATATTCTCCCATTTCTTTGGGGCAAATCTTTCATAAACTGTAGCTTTGTAGGATAGTAACTGGCTAATACAGTTATATACAGTAGATATAGTGTCGAAGTCAGTAGTTTTCACTTCTATCTGTTTGAACAAAAACATATTTCTGCTGGGAAAATTAGTGTAAGTTTTCTTGCTAGTTTCATATTTATTACTTTTTATAATACATAGCTTTCATCTGATGTCATGACTGAAGGAACTCCACATGCCATTTAAAGTCAACTAACATGCCATTATCATAGGAAGAGCTAATAATTTAAATACCATACGACCCCTTTCAAAAAATCTACCTTAGACATTTTAAGAAGAATCTTAAGCTGATCTGCAACATTCCCATGTAGTTTCAAGATGTTGAATAATTTTTCCAGAAAGCATTTCTTTACAGAAGATTCATATCTTTCCATTCTTTGAAGCCACCAGCATAATGCTGAACTCTGCTGAAACCCAGAGACTTTGCAGCAGCTAGAGCTTGCTTACTTCTCACTCCTGCCCAACAGAAAAAGACTAAGTGGTCTGTTTTACAAGGCATATCTTGACTATATTTCTCTTGAAATCTTCTGGGTCCATTTGTAATGCTTTTGCAATCTCACCCAGTGGAATGCAGATGGATCCAGGGATTTCCCCAGATTTCCAATCTCCCATTTCTCCCTGACATCAATAAGCGAAATGGCCTTGGAGTCCAGCAACTATTTGAGTTCCTTGTATGAGATGTTGTGGTCCTCCTCGGAGGTACAAAAACAGCAAACAGAGAATTGCTTGGTTCTGAGAATGCCAGAGCTGAGCTGAAGGAGAGCTCCTTGGCAGGGACCCCGAGCCTGCTGGTGAAGCCCTGGGCCTCGGCAAGGCTGTGTGGCTGGGCACCGCGAGCCAAGGGCACCACTAATGCATCCCAGCTGCCTCGGGGAGCCCCTCCACATGCCTGTTTCCTTAAGAGAGGAGGCGGGGTCCTCCTCCTGCCTTAGTAGGCCACAGCATTCACCTGCTGGCTTCTTGGCCTTTGCTCTCAAGGTGATTCAGAAATGAAAGAATTATATTTACCTAACAATAGCATCAATCATCTGTATTGATTTACTCTTCCTTAAATATGCTGCAAGTTTTTCCCAACCATCCAAAAATACAGGTCACCAAATTACGTTATGAAGAAAACTCAGATGTAGATGTCTGTTATAGTAATAGTGTTTTCTATACAGAAATTTTATTTACTGAACAAAGATAAATGCAATTTGGGGTTTATTCTATACAAGATTCCCATGTGACTGATTTATGTAGAAAACAGGATTTTTTCTGTGCAAGAAACATTTTATTCTGTATTAAATACTTATTTTATGCACTAAACAACATGGAAACTGCACAGAAAAACTGTACTTTTTTAATACGGCTTTCTCGCAGTATGAAGCAAACTGCTAAAACAGTATGTTATTTTCTTGAAGAAGAAAATTGGTATAGAATTCACTCCCAAATTGAAAATATAACAGAGCAAATGTGCATCTTAGTACTGATATGAGAATGAACAATTTGAAACTTCAGAAATATATCGCAAAATTGATTGTAGTCCTAAATTGTCATCAAGCTGATGTTGACCCATGGAGACTCGTATGAAGAGACCTCAGTAACCCTGTTCACATCTTGCTGTGTGTTTCCTGGTTGAGTCTACCCAGTTGTAATGCAGTCTCCCTCTTTTCCAACTACCTTAAGAAACATTATTGTCTTTCCTAGAGTCATGTTTTCTCATGAAAAATAGTGTCATTTAAGGAAGTCTCATTTAAGTCATCTTGGCTTCTAGGGAAAGTTTGGGTTTGAATTGCTCTAGGACCCATTTCATTTATTTGTCTTTTTTGGAGTCCTTGGTATTCACAGAACTCTTCTCCAGCCCCACATTTCAAATGTGTTGATTCTCTTCCTATCATCTTTCTTCACTGTCCACCTTTCTGAACTATACATAAAAATCTGAAATACAATGGCATGGAGTTCAGTATTCAATGTGATCTAGTTACACTTGATTATACAACCCTAATGTTTAATAGGATTACACAAATGACAGTTCACACATTCAGTGAAAAGCCATGTTTGCTTTTTTCAGTGTAAAAATACAGAAGGTTAATGGAGAAAGAAACCTTGTGACAACTGCTGAACTCTGAGATTAGCGGAGTAACTTGACTAAAACAAATTACACCACCCATTACAAATAAGGGTTGCTAAAAACCCCTTTAAAACTGGTATATTTATAGGTTTTTCAGGGAGCCTTGCAGTTCAGTATGCAATTCCAGAACAAGCTTCTGCTAGATCTTGATATATTTTCTTTAAAGTGTGCCATTCATTCTGAATAAGGCCAGGCTGGCCACCTTAACAAGTATACAAGTTACTGTGATGCTGTAAAAACATACAAAAATAACTCTTCTATAAAATGTAATGATTCAGAAAATGCTGGTTTTCTAAAATAACTTCAGTTGTGTAATACTGGCACTGGGGTGGCGGCCAAGGGGATACTAAAGTACCTCGTATTGTTGTTTTGTGAGCTAAGGACCAGACTAGGGAGATGGCAGTGTTCCAGTAATTTGTCCTACCTGCTCTGCCCTATTTTCCCTTCACCTCAGATGAACTTACTACAGACTCATTTTGCTCTTCTCAAATTCTTTGAAACTGGCCCTGCTCTTTGGATGAACTTTGTTTTGCAACGAAACCCCCAAATTCCTCAGGAATATTTTAGCCACAGAACAACCATCTGTATCAGGGAGATCGTAATATCAATCAATCTTGGAATAATGTATTGTCGAAGGCTTTCATGGCCGGAATCACTCAGTTCTTGTGGGTTTTTTCGGGCTATATGGCCATGTTCTAGAGGCATTTCTCCTGACGTTTCGCCTGCATCTATGGCAAGCATCCTCAGAGGTGAGGTCTGCTGGAGCTGGGAAAAAAGGGGTTTATATATCTGTGGAATGACCAGGGTGAGACAAAGGGCTTTTGTAAGTTGGGCTAGGTGTGGATCTTTCAACTGCCCACCTTGATTAGCATACAATGGGCTGACTGTGCCTGGGGCAAACTCTTCTTGAGGGTGATTAGATGTCCCTGCCTGTTTTTCTCTCTGCTGTTTTTGCTGTTGCAATTTTAGAATTTTTTAATACTGGTAGCCAGATTTTGTTCATTTTCATGGTTTCTTCCTTTCTGTTGAAATTGTCCACATGTTTGTGGATTTCAATGGCTTCTCTGTGTAGTCTGACATGGTGGTTGTGAGAGTGGTCCAGCATTTTTGTGTTCTCAAATAAAATGCTGTGTCCAGGTTGGTTCATCAGGTGCTCTGCTATGGCTGATTTCTCTGGTTGGAGTAGTCTGCAGTGCCTTTCATGTTCCTGGATTCTTGTTTGGGCGCTACGTTTGGTGGTCCCTATGTAGACTTGTCCACAGCTGCATGGTATACGGTAGACTCCTGCAGAGGTGAGAGGATCCCTCTTGTCCTTTGCTGAACGTAGCATTTGTTGGAATCTTGGAATAGTGTATTAAAAATAACTTGAAAACTTGAACTGTTATATCCTCTGTTTCACTACGAACACATTATAATAATTTTGCTCCATTTCACCGCAAACCCAACTTCATTTTGCAGGAATCCTTCATCCCTAGAACAGTGGCATCTAACAGGGAGATAGTAATATTAGATCTGTCTTTTAGAGGCACAAAGGGCATAATTTCAGGCCAGCTCTGAGGAACCTGCTAGTGCAGTTGGCCAGAACTTGTCAAAAACTGTTCAATTCTTGCTATGTATATTCAAGTCCTACCAAGCAACACCAAAGTGTAGATGTGCACATCTGTCTCTTTTTTTCCATCTTTTCTCTATATGTCTCCCTACTTTATTTACTTCATCACACTAGAGAATGAATCCACTTTAAATCCGATTTCTGCCTCCTGCAGAATTCTGGGGTTTGTAGTTTAGTGAGGCTTCACCTTAAATTGCAAACCCCAGAATTCTGCAGGAGGTAGCCACCAGATTTTAAGTGGATTCATTGTCTACTGCAATGGTTCTCAACCTGTGGATCCCGGATGTTTTGGCCTTCAACTTCTAGAAATCTTAACAGCTGGTAAACTGGCTGGGATTTCTGAGAGCTGTAGGCCAATACACCTGGGGACCCATAGTTTGAGAACCTCTGTGATGAGGTCTCTAGTCTGTCTCTTTGGGCTACATTATACTTGTTT